ATTGACTATCCAAAAATGCCCGTGGATGTGATGGGTAAAAGTAGGATAAAATGAGTAGATTAATAGTGAATAGATGTGATGTGATAGGTAGGTTAAGAATTATTATGGATAAAAGTGACTTTTTAATAGAAATAAGAAAGGTTTTTTGGGACGGATGAAAAAAGAAAGGAGAAAGGTTTTATGGGACGGAGGGAGTATTGTATATAATAAGTTGAATTGCATCCATTCACCTTTTTATTATATTCACATCATAAAATTTTCCACCCTTTTCTCAAAGATATAATCAAAATTATTACCTTCATCATGGTCATCATGGAATGGGCTACTGGATTCATATCCCATGTTTCAAAACAAACCTACAACCAAATAAAAATAGGAATTTCAATTTTAAAATGATGTGACAAAGAAAACCCTCCGATTTTCTCAGTAATCATATTTCCTCAAATAGGAGCAAAGTAGACAAAAAAGCACGAAAAAAGTAAGAGCAAAGTAGGAGCAAAGAGCAAACAAAGGATAAGGTAAGCATATAAAGACATGATCCACACAAACCCACACTTACAACTAGCCCCAACACTTATAAAGCACTCAAAGACAAGCATAAATGCACACGCAAAAACTACCATTAAGGTCTACAAGTCTACCCAACTACTCTAATCTTAGATCTCCAAGTAGGAACCTATGGGATCATTTCCTTGATAAGATCCTCAAGCATGGTAGTCAAAATCGCGATCTGACTCGTACGATTCTACGAGTCCAGGGATCGCCAGCAACTTCCCGATCTGACTCGCCTCCAGAATCGCAATGGTCAATAGGCTCGGTCGGATCGTCGATCCGGATCGGGAAATCGTACGATCGCAATAGATCGGCGATTGAACGCAGCGTCGCTTCAAAATCCCAATCCAATCGCGACTTTGAATTTCGCGACTCCCAATCGCAACTCAGCTTCTGTCGCGACTCCCAATTCTAGTCGCAACTCCCTTCCAATTCCAGGATATTATTTATCTGCTTCTATTTATTTGCAATTCTTATCTGCCTATCATTTATCTCTGCTTCTAGCCTTCCCTTTCTGCTTCGATGCTTTCTTCTGCTTCTACTCGAAGCCTTCTCTTTTCAATTAGACAACTATAATGTCAATTCAGGAATATAATTTTAGCATTGATAATTATGTTTTAGATGTTTAAAAATAAAGTTTTAAGTCATTTGTGATCCAACTTGAACTTGTGTTATGTTTTATTAAATTTTTACATATATATATATATATATATATATATATATATATAGTAGGATCTTACGATCCGAGTCACGATCTTACGATGTTACGATCTTCATTATGCTTATCGATCCTACGCAGAATCTAGAGTTTGACTACCATGTCCTCAAGCATTAAGTATACTGTAGTCACATCATTCTAACTCGTTTTAAGTCTACCCCTGCACCCGCCCACTACCATAAGCTTCTTGCATTTCGATCACATCCTCAAATAACCTCGGTTTGAATCCTATCAAATCTCAAGCTATTCGGTATTTGAAAATAAATTTGGTAAAGGGACAAATAGAGGCAGATCCAAGATTTTATGTGTAATACCCCAACCCGCGTAACTCGAACCGACGAGTTAGCAAATCGGATTGCTACTAAATTGGTATTCATATGCATAATATTTTAAAAGCAATTAAAAATAAAACATCCATTCATATTTATTTTAAAAAAAATCATAGTTTAATTGAAGTAAATAAACAAACGTTGCCGAAGCCTTTAAAACAACATCATCAAACATTTTTGTAGTTTAAACAAATTAAAATCAACAAGTATTTAATTCAATTTCAAACCATCCACCAGCCTCACGCTTCACTAACCTCCATGTTGCTCATCCAAATCTTGACCCCTACCTGTAAATATAGGGAGCATGGAAGTATCTAACGCTAGAACTAACTCATAGACTAGCAGTCATTAACATATAATCATACAATATCAAAAGAATCAACAATTACAATTATTCAACCGCTTGATCAATCGTTCATTCGTATCAGATCGTTGCATATTCTTACCATACTTAACGTATTCGGATAAAGTCTAACTAAACACACTAGTCATAGACATTCCTAGAGGTGCCAGGAGGCCAAGCTTGTAATCCCAATGGAAGGTGCCCAATTGGGCGGGTTGGAGCCCCCACCACGGAGGTGCTGAGACAGGTCGCATTCTCCCATACATACGCTTTAACCCTGGAGATCATCAGAAGTACGCCGACACCTGTATGACCTTAAATTCGTAATTCTAAATTCTAATAGTGATTCCGATTTCTAATTCAGTCCAGATCCGCCTAGTACTACTAGGCACCCTATTCCACAACTTCCGTTCAACACACAATCAACTATAAATTTTATATTATGATGATCCCACTTGCGAGCATGTTCCACCACCTTGATATACTTTTTAATTTAAGTGATATTTCATTAGATTGATGGAATTGGGTTAATTGATGGTCCTGGCCAAATCTTAAAGTCAAAGTGAAAAGGATTAAATTGTAGCAATTGGAAATATGGGAGGGTCCAATTATAAATTAAAACTAATTTTTTAGTTTCAGATGGAAAGCCCTTTATTCCATCAGGCTAGCACGCAGCAGATTTCTTTTAGAAGGAACAAACCAAAACTTGCATCCTCTTAATCCTCACTAGCAGCCCTCCCTCTACCAGAAGTCAACAGCGGCAGCAACAAGAGCAATCACCGGACAGGACAGCGGCACAAAACAGCAACTCGATCGCCCCGAAACACATCGATCAGAGATTACGACAACATGGCAGAGAAGACCACACCATCACAGAGAGACGAGAAACATGGTAGAATAGCGAAGAACAGAGTAGAATTGGAATAGGAACAGAATAGCGAAGTAGCAGCAGAGGCAGTGAAACGAAGAGGAACAGCGCACAGTAAAGCCCACTTCAAATCCAAATCGAATTCAATTACCCCATACCCAAATTCAATTTCAACACAATCAATCACACAATTCAATACTCATAATCACAAATTCAACGTCAATTGAACGAGAATAAATCAAAGAAACCTAATCAACGAATCAATTCTAACACGAGAGATTACCACCACTCACCTCGAATCAATTGGCAAAGAATCCCACTCCAATAGGCGTAAGAATTCCGGAAAACTCGTCCCCGTCTAACCTAGTCGCGCGTCAATTGAGAAGTTGGAGAAGATGGACGGCGATTAGAACGAGCACAAGTACTCCCGCGAAGCGAACGACGAAGAAGACAGGTGAGGAGAGATCAGGATTCGGTCCGTATATTTATTTGCCAATACTCCGTAATTAATACTGTATTATTTTTATAATATTATATTATAAAAATCTTTTTGTTTAATTTTGAAATTTAACTTTTATTTTACTTAATTTTGTACACATAAGTTCAAGTTTGGCAAATAATATGTCGGTCATCTTTTTACGAGATCTAGGGGTAGGTTCGATTTTGCCAGTTTGTTTTTTACTCAAAACCAAAGACAAAACGAGGGTGGGTTAGCGGTTCGATTTTGCATATAGATTATGTAAATTATTGTTTATTCCGTTCGATTTTATGTGGTTTTTATTTCGGTTTTTTGGGTTTTCATAGTAAAAATTTATAAGCAATAAAATATTGTAAAAATACTAACTCGATAAAGCAATAACAATATCTAGGATTAGGTTAGGTTTTTTATTTGATTTTTATACAAACCCAAAAACCGAACAGAAGATTTTTGTTCCATTCAATTCAATTTTACATAAAAAAATATGTGTCAAGTGTCCAACAAACATCTAGAAGATTCCAAATACTCGACATCGTATGTGAATATCAATTGTGAAGAATTTGCATTTTTTGGTATAATCCTTTCATTTCTATTATAACATCAAAGTTTTTTATATAAATATGTAAATTACTCATATCAATCAATTTTTTATGTTGATATAATTTTGTATTGGGATTAGTTATTGATGTTTATATTCTTAAGTTTATTAAAGTTTAATTAATTATAATATTGTTCAAAATATTCAATTAATACGAAGTAGTTAAGAAAATAACCTTAATCGACTAGTAAATTATTTGTATTTATGTTTCTATAATTTTTTTACATATCATATATACTTATATAAATAAATCGAAATACTTAAGAAAGTTTGATTATAAATATTTTTTTTTGGACAAACACATTTATGTCTTTCATATTGATTGAAGAAATTATAATTTTATACTATTGCATGGTGTAACAATAATATTTTATATATTTTAATATAAAATAAAACATTACATACAAATATTTTTATGTATTATCAATTCTCTTCTTCTGTTCCTCCATTTGAGCGCCAATCCTCTTATTCTGTTCCAACATCCGAACTGTGATTGTCTTTTGTTGATCGATCAGTGTTTCTAAGGTTTCTTTGATGGACGACATCATTGCAGATCATCTTCCTTCTCCTTAGCTTTTTAGCACCAGATCATAATGCTTTGATACCACTAATACATGCGAGTAGACTTCTCAAAAATGAGAAAGAGGGCCTCGAGGCTTTGTAACGAGGATGGTTAGAGAAGATGAATAGAAGGTAGAGAGAGATATATAAAGTTGAGAAAATATTACTCTGAGTACTCAATCAAAGGATAAGTGCCATATATATAAGCTACACAACAAGAGGTAAACATAAAGAGTAAAAGTATAAACATACTCCGTAAAAAGAGTAAGAGTAAAGGCGTGCATGAATAACACTAAAGGCGTGCATCAGTTCACTAAACACAGCTAGTTTTTTTCTTCTTCTTTTGAGCCATAATAAGAGCTCGTTTTCCATAAACGCGACTGTCCTCTATACCCAATACGCCATGAAATTTGACCAAATCTAATCATGCTAAAAAAATTGGCATCACTACTACGGCACAACAGTTTCCTTTCTCGAGCCTTATAGCTATTATGGAGTGTGAACAAAAATTCAACACATATCTTCATGGGATATTATATCACTCAATATATAGACAATTGAACAATAAAGGTTGGGAAAGATATTTATATAGGCTAACAAACAAAATCATGACAACATTAGACCATGCTAAGGAATGATGAACCATCATCTACCTCCAGTATAAATCTCAAAAGTAGCTTGGCTTTTCACTGCCAAAAACCAAAAAAAAAACGATTATTATGACTATCCATTGTCACTATTATTATATATAGCTGCAAAATGGAAAAGGGTGATGAGCAGAAGAAGTGTGGAGGAAGAGGAGGATGAAGGAATGTAAAGAGCTTGTTCATGCATATGATTAGATTTGGCTAGAGTCCCTCCCGAAAATGAATCGCCTCATCCAGTCGGACACCACCAAGGCCCGGGTACGCCAACTGACTTGCTTGCTTGCGTACACGGAATACCAGAGCCATTGAGAGCTGTGGCCGATTGAGACCCAATCCCACGGCAGCTGTGCTGCTGTTTGCTCCCCTCCCAGCGGTGCAAATTGTCCGAAATGCTTGTACCTGAAGGGGCGGAAACGGTGGCGCCCTTCCCCCCTGAACCGAATTGGACCCTCTGGATCCTTCTCGCACTTCTCCATGCGGTTGAAGCAATCTGCAAGGTACACACCTTGTTGGGATGCAACCTGCATTTGAACAGCAAATTTTGAACCCCAATCACTAACTACCATATGATTAATTAGTTTGTCATCAGAGTGTATTATTATTATATCTGTTTCTAAACACAAACCTGAGCAGTGGCAGGAAGATTCTTCATCTGAGAATCGACTTTGGAGAGAGCTGCTTTGAATTCCTCGATGTTAATCTCAACAGATCCTTTAGCATTGCCCCCTTTTAGTTCTCTCAACAAATCAGACAGGCTACTCATTTGGTTGTTCTTCAAGTAGAGATCCATTTGAGGGTACCTTTCGCATATATCATTTAGCACCTCTTGGAATTCTTTTACCGTTAGTGTTCCAGAGTTGTCCTTGTCTGCCTTTCGAAATATTACTGCAATATCCTCCTACAAAGCATGCAACATAAACCATTATTCACACTGATGCCTGCTAAATTTGTATCACACTGGACACAAATTAATTATTGATCTGGGTTTTTTATTAAAACAACCTCTCCACATTTATAGGTCAGGTGAGGTCTGCATGCACCTACCTCTCCCAGACCCAAACTTGTGGGATTTCAATGGATTATTGTTGTTGTAATATATGCGAAATGACCTCCATATTTAGGGATCAAATGCATTGGTATGTAATTTAAAAGGGTAATACCCACCATAACTTTCCGTTGATTGATTGTGGCAGTGTCCCCGAGTGCATATACAGTGTCACACCCTTCAACTCTCAACCACTCATCAGTTGCTAAGACGCGTCTATGGCCCTGTAGAACATGTGAAATTGTTAAATTAAGAAGTTCAATACTGGTACAATCTAACATTAGAAACCAATCAAGGGGAGTATACTTGCCAACATCGGCTTGTTAATACCAAAGTATTTAATTTACTTATAATGAATAGTGAATACGCACAAAGATATATGCACCTGACCAATTTCCTTCATAAAATTCACTACTAAAGGACGAGACCCAATGCCAGTTGACCAAACAATCATTCCATAAGGTGTAGAAGTTATGTCCCCTCGTTTAGCATCTTTTGTAGAAATTTCCTTATCTGAAACTTTAACAACCATTGATCCTGTTTTAACATCAATTCCATCTCTCCCAAACTTGTCTTCAGCAAAAGCTGTGATTCTCTTGTCAAACCTATAAAACAAATAGTAAAGGTGACCAAGACAAAACATGGATTCAACAGTCAAATCAGTAAGGTTTGGAAAGAAGTAGAAATAACAACGCAAGCATAACAAATGGGATAGAGGGTTAGAGTGAAGAAGAAAGTTTTTGTAGCAGCTATGATACTGAGGTCAGCTTGGAATGTTGCTAACCTCTATACCACTTTTTTGGTTGAACTCCTACGACATGGTTTACATGCCTACCATGGGGTTTGCACCTTATTAACAGTCACAAATGAGGTTCTCTATTACTCCCTCCGTTCCTTTAAATTCTTGCACATGTCATTTTTTGTCTTTAGCATTACTAAGGTTATACAAAAAATCATTTTAACCTTCTATACACCATTCACATCATCTATCTTCAGTATCCCATCCCCATTTCACCCACCCTATTTTGATAATTGTACTCTCATGGGCAAATATGGAAAGTAAATAATATTCTTACATTTGTCTAAAACTCCATGATATATATTTTCTCCATCAAGAATCCAAAGGGAGGGATGGAGTACATTAAAGAGATCGTAAAAGGACAAAATGGTAAGAAAATCCAGCCGGGATAGGTAACAATAATACTCCGTATAAAACAACCCAATGAGGTCCCAGAAGTGGAGTCTTGGAAGGGTGGATACATTCAGATCTTACCCTGCCAATAATACTATGTTGAACAGCGGGATCCTAATATCTTTTATCAAAAAAGCAACACTAGTAGGTGGAGCAGCACTTGCAGCTGCCTATTTAATGTATGTTCGAGCAATACCACACAGTTACCAATGAATAGGGAAATAAAATCTTAGTTTCTTACATGTTCAATATATGATCTGTTGCTTCCACTAGTGTAATCTTCACAAATTCCTTGACCTTGGGATATAGCCTAACAACATCTTCACTGACAAAATCATGGAGTTGTGCTGCGAATTCCACACCAGTTGGGCCGCCACCAACAATAACAAAGTGAAGAATATTTTTCCTCTCTTCATCAGTGAGGTTAGGCAGACTCGCTCTCTCAAAGCAATCAATAACAGCTCTACGGATCCTCTGAGCATCCTCCACTTCCTGCACAAGTACTAGCCATTCTTAAGGCATAGACACCGGAGAGAGAAAGAGGTGTATGTGTTAGGTCCGCAACACATGAAAAGATGATAAGTGTTATAGATTACCTTCAAGAAAAATGTATGTTCTTCCACACCAGGAATATTGAATGTATTTACACGAGCTCCAATGCCAATCACAAGGTAGTCATAATCTACTGCAAACTCTTCTTTCCCATTCAAATTGTTGTTCAAATTAGATCTACAGTATACCTTTTTGTTCTTTGCGTCAATCCTTATACATTCAGCCTCACAGTAACGCATATCTATGTTTTTCTGCATAAAATTGTTCAAGTCAACTTTTTGTAAGAGAACCAGTAAATTCATTATGTTCTATCGTTCAAGCATGCAATATTACTCGGTAAATGATTCAGAGAGTTGAAGATTATCAAGTGTACACTTCAAGAAAATGTGCAATATAAATGTTCAAATGTTTAATACTCCAAATTATGATGTATATAGGGATGCCGTTTTAGCTTCTCTACTTCACCTTTCTGATAATGTTGCGAATGGGTTCAACAACACTGCGACCTTCAACCGTGCCGCACGTCACACTTGGCAGCAAGGGAGTAAAAGCAAAGTAATTGCGTGGTGATATCACCTGGACATCATATGAGGGATCTTTAAGATTCTTCAAGAAACTTGTTGCAGCCCAACCTGTTCCAAGTACAACCACTTTCTTTTTCTTGTTGGCTGCATCAGTCAAAGCATGATGGTTAATGCTATCCTGTTGCTGTGTTGCATCAGAGTACGCCACAAGGCCTCCACCACTGCCAAATATGGAAAATCACAAAATGTTAAATGCTCTGGTAATTCACAAGAGACATGAGGAGCTAATCTGTAGATCCAATCCATCAAAAATAATGAAAAGAGCTGAGAAGCCCATGTGACTATCTGAGTGTAGTTCTAGAGCAAGGAAGATGAACCCAATCTCTACGAGTACCCGGAGTAGGTGCTAATTTTCTGGAGCTAAGCAATAAGGAGTATTGTTTTCATAGAAATGCACTTGTTCCATTCTAAGAAAATGTGTAAAATCAAGCAAAAAATGCAAGGTAATTAACTCAATGCACATACTAAACAATTTTAAACACAATTTGAGAATTCCTTTGTCAGAAGGTTACAATGATTATTACAACGAGTCAATGACTAAGAAACAGTTAAAAGCTTTGTCACAAAATGACCAGTGAAGATCTAGATTCTAGAAACTTCATGCGCAGATCGGATTCAATACATATTAGGCCAGCAATCGAAGTTCATTCAACGGAAAATCAAATTCTTATTCAACGCTTGCTCATATCAACATAACGGAATCACGATCGCGGGATGAAAATCAAAATCACCTGATGGTGAGAACGATGAGAAGCTTAGAAAACGACGGATTCTCGCGGAAGGTTCGAGAAAACCTCTGAACCAGAGTTACTCCCTGCATTTTCCTCCTCAAAAGCGGATTTCCCCTGCAAAATCTTCAGATCACCAATCAAATACTCCGGAACAGAGAATATACACAACAAATGAAATGCAGGAGTCGTAATAAACATGAAACGAAGCTCCTCTGCGAAAGATTTACCGTTCTAGAGAGAGAAAATCTTCGAGCTGAGGAAAATATGAAATGAATCGGGGACGAAGAAGGGAAAGAGGCGTTGATCTCACTCCAAGATGTTGGGCCGTTGGGTCATAGTGCTCGCGAATTTTCTTCCGATTCAGCACATCGCGGGCCAGGGATGTGACACGTGTGCGGAGACGGTTATACGAATATAGAATGTGAACAAAATGAAGGAATAATTTTCCACCTAATACTTTTGAATTCACACTTTGGTTGACAAATATTCCCGGGAGACTATTGCATTGGTAGGAGCTCTCAATTTCGCGGATGGTGTACAGAAGCATCTTCAGGTCCCTGATATTACCGTATAGAAATTGTCACATTTTTTATCTTTTATCTATAATTAAATAAAAATTATAATGTATACTCTCCAAAAAATTATTTTTTCTTTCTTTTTTTCTTGTCTCACAAAATCTTTCTTATTCTTATTAAAAAAATAATTTTTATTTTTACTAATTATTACTCTATCTATCAAGGATATTTTTAAAAAGTCAATACAAAACTATCACTCTCTTAAATTTTCCAAAAATCAAGATACGAACATCCTCATGAGACGGAGAAATATTATTTAAAATAATTTTTTTAAAACATTTTACAACATATATTTAATAAAATTATTCTTGTGCCAATGGACAATATGTATAAAATGTATTTAATTCATTTAAAGTAAAAAATGAGATTTTTATTTTTAGATGGAATTAACTAAATTTATAAGAATGACTGAATGAGAGTTGATTTAACATGTTTAGATACTTCCTCCGTTCGGAAATATTCTTTCATTTGACTTTTCACATTCTCTAATATTGTACTTTGATTATTAATATCTATATTTATTTTAACTGGTCTTGTTTTAGGTCCACACGTCTACGACCAATAAAATTTTTGTCCATTTATTTTCGCCGGTCTATTCATTTTTTTCTAATTTGGCACAAGTTCACCGTTTTTTAATGAGCTAAGCATACAATTTTTTTTGGCTGTAGAAGCATACAAATTCTTTAATTCTTTATAATATCTTTTTTTAATGTTATTAACTCTATTAGGATGTAGTATCTATTTACATTATTCTTAACTTAATGAGGTACGGAAAACCAGCTCCTCTCCTTCCGCTGAGGCTCGAACTTGTGTAAATTTTTCTATGAATCTTGGAGAATAAGATTCTCACCACTCAAGCCAGTGGAGAAGTTCAACATCTTACTATTTACTCCCTCCGTCCTAATTCTTTCTTCTCAGTTTGAATTTTCCTCATTTTTAATTTTTGGCTTTGACTTCAAATTTTACCTTCCTTAAAAAAGATTTTTTGATTTTTTTTTTTTGCAATCATTCAAAATATAGAGTTAGAAGATAATTGGTGTAATTACATGAGGGTATTAATGTCATTTGTCATCTTTTTTTTCTAATGGGAAGGTAGTTTTAGGACGGAGAAAAAGGGAAGTGCGAAGAAAGTTTTAGGACAGAGGGAGTAACTAGCATGTACTAAAAAAATAGCTTGTAAACTTTTGGTGTATAGAATCTATTCTTTTATTTATATGTGATTTTTTTATCTTAGAAAAGTTTATATGTGAAAAATTTTATAAAATCAAGGTTTTTTGGTTTTTACTCGGACCCGACTGAAAAAATCTAGACTGGTTTGGGCGGTATCTATTTGTGACAATTAGGGATGTAAACAAATCAAATATTTTAAATTCGATTCGCGATTTGTATTCGAATATGATGATTCGAATTCGCGTTATTCAAATACAAATTCAAATACAAATATTATTTTTGATTCGAATATTAATCAAATACAAATACAAATAGGGATATATTCGATTCGGATGATATTCGAATATTCGAATATATGTATATATACACAGATCATGTTTTCAACATCAAAAGTCAAGCAAAGTAATATAGTATAAAGTGTATTTAAAATACTAAGAATTCAATAAATTAACATAACACGAAAATCTAAAGCATATGATTTTTAATAGTTATATTTTATAAAATATAATTTGTGTAAGATGCAGATGTATTAATGTTTTTATATACGGAATATAGTATAGTATAAAGAGTATCGTAAGTTAAATTACAAATTGATGTTGGTCCATCATATAAATTACATAGTATGATTATTCAAATATTCGTTTATGATTCGATAACTATTCGAATATTAATCAAATACTTATTCAAATCTTATTTTGAATTCGTCTCATATTCGGATTCGGATTCGTATTCGAAAAAATTAAACAAATACAAATTCAAATATATCGGTATTCGCTTCGATCCGGTTCGTTTACACCCCTAGTGACAATCACACCACATATAAATTATACGGAGTACATTTTTTATATACGGAGTATAAATCTTCAATAAAATGATTGAAGAAACTTAAACACACATCTACTAGCTAGCTAGTTCATCTGCATTATCAATTGCTTTCCTCGCCATTTGTGGTCATCCTTGGAGTTAAATAAAGCCACACATATATGAGTGTGCTTGTTGTTGTTGTTGTTGTTAAATAAAATGGACTTTGGAACCCTTAATTGCCTAGGAGCATTCGGCACTTCCCCGCCAAGCCTTTTCATTTGAAACCTCATCGTCTTTTTTGGCGTGCAATATTCAAATTGCAAAAAACCTCAAACTCAGTGATTAATGTCTTCATAACAAATTCAAAGAACTAGCCACTCATTATATATGTTCCAGTGTATTCATTTGGTTTGATTTTTTTCAATCAAACTAGATAAATTTTAATCTTCAATAACTCTTAATTTATATTGCACATTAATACAATCAATTTTTTTTTGAAAATTATCAACAAGATAAATGATATGAAGTCATTTTATACTAATATAAATTACAAGTTTTATTTAATTGAACTATAAAGTTAATTCGGTTTGACTCGTAAAGTCAAATTGGATGAATACCCTGGAACGGAGGTATACATTAATAAATTAAAACCCTCAATCAAACTCTAATAATTAGTGTGAACATTATTTTAACAATAAAGCTTGCATCAGTTGCATGGTAAATACCAAGATTTCTATCTCATTTATACATGAAGTGCATACAGACACATACAGACAACAAATGTTTATACAATCTACTAATTACAGGAGTTGTTTAACAATGACTTACAGCTTCTTGAATGGTCTTTGATACGCGAAACAGAGAGATCAAATCTTCATGATCAACACCACAAACTATTCTAATCTGCATGACAATCAATTAACAAACATAAATTATAAATGCATATAAATATCTACCACATTATTTGTTTTAATTACCCATTTTCAAGAAACTAATTTCATTTCATTACAGATAATATGTTACCAGAATATCCTGAGGCAATGCTTCAAGCTGCGATTTCTCAAGCGCCGCCGCCGCCGGCGGAAAAACAGCCTTTTCAACACCACTTGTACTTGAAAACACTATTCTTTTCACCGGCACAAAGCTTAGAGCTTCATACTCCCCCACAGCCATTTTCTTTAGCAAGAATTACTTCAAGATCCAATTTGTAGACAACAAAATATAAATTAAAATTAAAAATAACCTTAATCCCAATGATTAACCACTTAAAATACCCAAGAATAGGAAGCTATATATCTATTTGTATATAAATTAGTCCTTAGATTAGAAAGAAAAAGAAGCTTGATTTGTGGGCAAAAAATTAATTGGGATTGGAGAAAGGTTTGATCCCTAGAAGGAAATGAAAAATTGTTAACTATGTGTCAATTTTTTTTCATAAAAATAGTCAAGTTTTTTTCCATATATACATAGAGAGAGTCTTTTCCTTTATTTATTTCATGTTTTTAATTTTCTTTTTTAAACAGATAATTATCTTTGTTTCACATAGATAGAGAGTAGAACTCTATTTCAATGTAAATTTGAAATAATTTTACTCCGGTTATATTACTCCGTAAAAAAATTATAATACGATAAAGAGATAGTTTTATTTACAAAAAAATATTTCATTTTTGTTCATTTCAAGTAAAAACTACCCGTATTAGATCTAATTTGTAGACAACAAGAAGTAAATTTACTGAAACATTAACCCAATAATCAAATGCTATATATCTTTTTTTAGCACTCTATGTATCTATTTTTACAAAGTAGCTTTAAGCTTAGAAAAAAGCATGGACTTGGTATAATATAGTGGTAGAGAACCTCCAATGAAGCTTGATTTGTGGGCAAAAAATTCAATTGCGATTCGAGAAACGGTTTGATCCCTAGAAGGAAATCAAAAATTGTTAACTATGTGTCAACTTTTTTCCACAAAAAGAGTCAAGCTTTTTCCATATATACATTGAGAGAGTTTTTTCCTTTGTTTATTTCATGTTTTTAATTTCTTCTAAACAGATAATTATCTTTGTTTCAGATAAATAGAGAGTATAACTCTATTTCAATGTAAATTTGAAATAATAATTTTACTCCGGTTATATTACTCCATAAAAAAATTATAATATGATAAAGAGATAGTTTTATTTACAAAAAAATATTTCATTTTTGTTCATTTCAAGTAAAAACTACCCGTATTAGATCTAATTTGTAGACAACAAGAAGTAAATTTACTAAAACACTAACCCAATAATCAAATGCTATATATCTTTTTTTAGCACTCTATGCATCTATTTTTACAAAGTAGCTTTAATATTAGAAAAAAGCATGGACTTTGTATAATATAGTGGTAGAGAACCTCCAATGAAGCTTGATTTGTGGGCAAAAAATTCAATTGCGATTGCAGAAACGGTTTGATCCCTAGAAGGAAATGAAAAATTGCTAACTATGTGTCAACTTTTTCCACAAAAAGAGTCAAGTTTTTTCCATATATACATTTAGAGAGTCTTTTCCTTTGTTTATTTCATGTTTTTAATTTTTTTTGAATAGATAATTATTTTTGTTTCAGATGGATAGAGAGTATAACTCTACTTCAATGTAAATTTGAAATAATTTTACTCCGTAAAAAAATTATAATATGATAAAGAGATAGCTTTATTTACAAAAAAATATTTCATTTTTGGTCATTTCAAGTAAAAACTGCCCGTATTAGATCTAAATTGTAGACAACAAGAAGTAAATTTACTAAAACATTAACCCAATAATCAAATGCTATATATCTTTTTTTTAGCACTCTATGTATCTATTTTTACAAAGTAGCTTTAAGATTAGAAAAAATCATGGACTTGGTATATATAGTGATAGAGAACCTCCAATGAAGCTTGATTTGTGGGTAAAAAAATTAATTTGGATTGGAGAAGCGGTTTGATCCCTAGAAGAAAATGAAAAACTGTTAACTGTGTGTCAACTTTTTTTCATAAAGAGAGTCAAGCTTTTTTATTTCCACGTATACATTGAGAGAGTGTTTTCCTTTGTTTATCTCCTTTTTAATTTTCTCTTTTAAACGGATGATTATCTTTGTTTCCGATAAATAGAGAGTAAAACTCTATTTCAATGTAAATTTGAAATAATTTTACTCCGGGTATATTACTTCGTAAAAAAATTATACTCCGTAATATGATAAAGAGATAATTTTATTTACAAAAAATATTAACTAGGCAAAAATAATTGGGAATGGTGGGAGCAATTGTGAAATACCAGTTATGCCCTTGGAAGATTGACAAATTCGTCTTGGTTTGGTTGCAAAATATTATTCCCAATGGAACATGCCTCAAATCGAATATTTGACAATTGTTTTTAAACATTGACATACCATTGCCACCATACAACATTTACAATTAAAATAGCCGTAAACATAACTTAAAAAGATATGTTTTTCTTTCTTTCTTCTTTTTAATGTTTTGACAATTATTGTACAAGGCAGCTAGAAATCATGAAGAAGTGTTACAACATTTTCTAGTCTACATTTTTTTTTCATCTCCTAAAACATGTAACAGAGGACTTAGCCCTATCACCATATCTTAGATGCTTCAATGCCGATTTTACCCCCTGCAAATTCCAAGCTTTAAACCTCAGCTTCAGTTTTTGTGGGTCCCCTTTGCCCGACCCGACATTTTCTTGGGTCGGGCCATCGGTCGTGTCGGCGTTCGCTAGCGGTTCACCATCGTAGTGCGCGACGCTAGAAGTTGCAATTCTTGGTGATCCATTCTCTGCAACTATTTGGCTTCTCTTGATTGCCGCTAGACTTGTCTGTTCATGATCACCCAAAAATATCAGCTTGTTGAACGTTTGTTTTCTATTTCGATGTATCAGACAATCACACTCTTAGAAAGTTAAAATCAAATTTGATTTCTCCCCTCGTGTTTTCTTGAGCCTAACTCGTCGAATGAATAACTTTATTAGTATGAAGTCTCTTGGAAAATGTCTAAAAACAAAGGCATGAAGACTTGACTTAAAGCAGACAATATCATACTAATGTGATTTTGGAGTCGACACATGGTCCTGACAACACTTACATACAACATGAACCCGATAGGCAATGGTGTTGGCATACAAATCGAATCCCACACCGGTGGAGAATGAAAAGAGAAACCGAAATAAGTAGGTTCAACTCAACCCACTAGTAGGAGGCTTTTTGGAAGGTACCCAAAAACAAATCCGTAAAGACTTGGTCCAGAGAAAACAATATCATAATAATGTGGGGTTGGAGTGAGGGCACGCACGGCCCAACAAATGGGATACTTAACAAGAAAGAGGGACACAAGACTAACCTTTAGAGTTGTGACTTGATCTTGCCATGTCTTTTCGAGGGACTGCATCTTTGATTCATACTCCTCCAATCTCTTATCACACTCTGAAATGTATCTCTTCAGTGAAGCATTTTCGTCATTCGCTCTTGCCAAAGCAGTTTCTGATATTTGCAGTCTTCTCCGAAGATCGACTAACATCTGAAACATGAAAAACCAATTGCTTATCTTGCTTTGCTGCTACAAGCTTGAGCTTTTTTTAGTTGATTCTTTTGAGAATGGCATATCTTAGTTCTACTAATTAGTGACAGGTTAAGGCATTTTCTAGGAAGCATTAACCTCTGTGAAACACACATATACCTTAGTGTCTTCATCCTTCGAGCCATGACTTGTGGTGTGTCTTGAATTCATGTGACTCGTCATTTCCTTTTCGAATTGCCTTCGTGTCAACCAACCCCGAATTCCTGATAAAATGTAACATGCATATAAGTTATTACACTTGTCAAAAATTGAAACACCCATACTTTGGCATACGTTGGCACTATGAAACACCCATACTTTGGCATTGCATTATAAGTCGTATTTTGGTATAAAAACATTAAAGGTTCTATTTTGGCATATGAAACATGTTTTAGTCCTAAAAAGGTATTTCTCCCTTTCGTTAGCTGAACGTGACAGACTATCGAACCCAAAATTACCCATTAAAAATAGGCCAAACCCGATTGAATCTGACCTGGCCGACCTGAGGTAAGGCATTTCATGCATTATGAGTATTAAGGAGTCATTTTGCTATGACTCATAGAGTTAATTCTGTTCAGGATCAATAGAGTGTCGAATTTGTTTCAGATTTTGGAAATGAATATTCTGTTTCTCGAATTCGATTATAGGAAATAATCAACTATATGATCCTCTAGAATTAATTCATTACGAAACAACCGATTTTGAGAACAAATAAAAATGGCAGTCCTACATACCAGATTGTAGACATATGACAGCTCTTAGATTCTCTAATCTCTTGTCATCTTCTTCCTTCAGTGTAACAGCCTGTTGGTAATATTTTCTTGCATTCTCACCTCGTATAACTGCAAACATTTGTTTTATTAACCTTTTTTTAATATATAAATGTTAAAAAAAACACAACTTGAAAAGGGTAACAAGGGACAAAACATTATAAAACAAGAAATTATTATAAAAAAATGGATTACATGATTGAAGTGCAATGGCTGCTCTCTTGAGTTCATGATAGTAAAGGCGGGCTTGATGGCCATGGTAACATCTCTGGATTATCTCCACTCCTTTTTGTATCTCATTGTCACTTTTCTATTGAAAATGTAAAAAATGTTGGAATTACACATTAGAGTTTGTCACAAGAGATTTGTTATAAAAAGAAGAAGAAGATAAAGTCTATCCGGGAAGGAATTAAATTGGAATTTAATCTTAAATTTATAAATAAAGAACGAAATTTGTCCTAATACGTGCAAGTCATATATGATTGTCCTTAACCGCTCGTGTCACGAGTCGAATTCGGGCATTACTTCATTTTACATTACCTATTGAGTTATTGACCAACTAAGCTATGCACTTATTAGTTGCACAACTTGCACTAATATTTCATCCTTTTGGTAACCCTAGTTAATGTTTCTTGCTAGCCCAATATTGCATTGTATTAAGAATGGATTAAGTATTTAAAAAATGTCCAGTTAAAAAAAAGTAATTTTTGAAAAATATATAAATAAAATTCAAAATTAAATAAAATATCACACACACAAAACACAAAGAGTAAAAATACTTAAACTCCAAGGAGGTTAGCAACACAAAAATAATTACGCAGAAACAATTATTATCTGTGAAATATTGACTGTGTATCTCAATATGACATTAACTTATTTACTTTTTTAATAAAAATAACATTTGTTATTGGTAAGTCACCGCACCGAGGAGCCTAATCTATCTTTTTCTACATTTTTTATTCTTTTAAAAAGTATTTCTTTTTTAAAAAATTAGTACTAATATTTGAAATTTGAATGTTACTCGCTGCACTTTTTTAGGTGATTTAATTTTCATGATTCGGGGCACTTTTTTAATATTTGAATGTTATGATTACCTTTTTGTTTTCTTAGGTGCAACATTATGGTGACTTTGAAGTTTGAATACATATTTGGATTTTCTTGACTAACCAATATTTTTATAAGACTTTTTTAATACGGAGTATACTTTTAGACTTTTTTAAATTTACTTTTAGACTTTTTTGAACCTAGGTTTAAAAATAGGGCCCACACTGGCACACTCTATGAACGTTAATGCCTTTTGGTACATAATTGTAAGTTGTAACTTGTTTAAATAGGGGCCACATTCTATGAATGCTTTGTGGTACATAATTGTAAGTTGTAACCGGTTAGAAGGGTCTGTTTGAATGGTGCACTTCAAGTTTGTATAATTTTATGAACCTTTTCATATAGAGCAATGCTAGGTGTACATCTAAGGTGTATCCAATTTGTCCCCCACCCCCTTCTCTACTACACATTTTTATTTCATTTTTAATTAATTATTTATTTTAAAGTTTTTTGCCCATTTATGTAGTGGAGGAGGGGGTGGGGGACAAACGGGGTACACCAAATGGTGTACCCCTAGCATTTTTCTTTCATATGTTCTTTATTTATTTTTGAATAAAAAATGCTCTCACTACCATCATTTGTAGGTACTAAATCGCACCGTGCCTGCATGAGTAGTTTAACTTGTCTATGAGAGGATGTCAATCTCATAGATCCTAAGATCGAATACTACCAGCGGCAGTGCGGAAGTTCTATAAAGACAAAAAGACTAAAATAGCATAAGAATATTGAAAATATATCAAAATAAGAATTTTATATTTTTATTCCTAAAATAAAAGTTAAATACATTTACAATGTCAATCATGATCATTTACAGTTGTAAGCTATTATTTATTATTTTTATCTTATTATTCTCCTCCAATAAAAAGGTTCTAGCATTTGCATGGTGAACTTATTATTTATATATTCTTTTATTTATTTATTTTTGATCATTTGACAAAATAAAAGTCATGTCAATACTAAATTTTACACTAATTTTTATAGAAATTAAATTAAAAATAACTTAGAGCATGTTTGGGAATTGAAATTTGGATTTTAAATTTAGATTTGGTTCAAATTCCATGTTTAGAATTCTACTCCCTCCGTTCTCAAAAACACTTCCTCTTTCATTTTTTCACTTACAACAAAACACTTCTCCTTTCTATTAAAAAATTACTTTTACCCTTACTTTTTCATACCCTACCTATCACATCATACTTTTTCTCTAATAATCAATTCATCACATCTTACTTTTACTCATCACATCGGGGGCAAAATTGGAAGTCAACTATAATTTTACACTTCCTTAATTTGCCTTATTTTCAAAGTGGGAAGAGTTTTTCCAAACGGAAGGAGTAAAAAATTAGATCAAGATTTGAGGCAAATTTCTCTAATTCATCACAAAACTCAATTGCAAATCCATGTCTTTCACTGTCATTTCAAAACACCACAATTTAAGCAACTAAAAAGTCAATTCTTTTACGCCAAGTCAAACAGGCTATAAATGGACGTTAGATCATTAGATGGTTAGATCTACTAGAACCCCCCAAAGTTAAAAAAATGTCAAATTTCTTATCTCTTTCTTTTTCAAAGCAAGGTTCGGATTTGATGGAATAAAATGACATTTTAAAACTATTTTTCATCTGATTTGGCATAATAAAAAGTCAATACAAAGTTAAAATACGCCATAGTTTTGTACAAAAGTTTAATAAGTGACAAATATAAACGTAGGCCCGTTTCATATCAGCGTGAGTAATGCTAGCATTTTGAAAAAATCATTCGACGATAGCTTTTAGTGTTAACATTTTCAAATTTAATCTACACCATTAAAATTTTATCCAAAATACTAACGCTATTCGAAAACGTTATTTCTAAACAACGCCTAATTGTACAAAAATGTGCATATGTTGTGAGCTTAAATAGTTACTCTCTAAGAAAGAGTGCAAAATAGAATAATGTCCTAATTCGATTCGAGATAACAAGTTTCACATACCCAAGATAAAAATCGCTCCCTTTTTAACATTCTAAGATTAAAATTCATAAAATTTACATACTGTAAAAAAAATTAAAATTCTAAATAAACAAATACCCGAAGTTTTTTTTAATTTGTAACTATTTTTTTATTCACAAAAAAATAATATCTTATTTTTAAATCTCAAAATAACAGTGTAGTAGGTATTTATATTTAAAAAAATCGATCTAAGAGCACTAAGAAAATAGGGTATTAAATTTTGCACGAGCATTGATGTACAAAAGACTTTCTTTTAAATATAAATTGAACTAATTTAAATAATACTCGTATTTTGCAGTAAAAACAAAATCAACGCAATGCATATGCCATAATTCAAAAATATGTATTGATTTAAATTCAAAAAAAATTGCAATTATAAGAAAAAAAACAAAATGACGAAGTTATCCCTATATTAAGTTCAAATTTACCTTCTCCGGCAGATCGGAATCAAGCAAATCCCCGTCTGCAATTCCCCTGCTTCCAAACAAATCGTCGATCTCCCCGTCCTCCCGATCTCGGCAATCAGCGTAATTGCTCTGGAGGTGAAAGGGACGAGGCCTCTTCGGGGTTCGCGGACGCCGCGCTCTCACCACCGGCCGCGGCGGCAGCGCCGGCGGGCCGTCGTCGTATTGCTCGTCCGACGACTGCTGGAGCTTCGCGAGTAGAAGCTCAAGCGAACTGAGAGACCTCGTTTCGCAATTCATCGCCATGGATGGATAAGAAGGGAATAATGTTCGTTTGAAGGCTTTTGTTGTTCAGTGATGGGAGAATTTCAGGTGGTTTTCTGTGAAAGTAAAGGTGGAAGGAGGGGATGGGGTTTTTAATTTTGTTTTTGTTTTCGGGTTTGGCTTTTTCTTGGGGGAGCGGCAAAGAGAGGAGAAAATAGAAATTTGAATGTGAAAGAAGAATTGTAAGGTGAGGAAGAGAGAGATTCAGTGGGCATGTGAATATCGGCGTTTGGGAATTAATAGCACTCCCAAGGAATAATGCTCTTTTTTTATTATGCTCTTTCGTTAATTTTGGTTTTGAAAAAAAATGAAAAGATCTACAAAATAATATGTGGCATGACTATATTATTTTATCAAATAGAAAATGAAAATATGGCAACAAAGTAAATAAATTTCTTGTTGACCAGAGGTCGTATATCAAAATAAAGCTTCACTTTCTGTATAGTTTATCAACCAAACAAGAATATTGATATTGTAAAATGCTCGTAATTCATGGATGGCCCGAAGAGTGTGCAAACAGGGTTGCACTGGGACGGGTGCGGGTACATATACGGGGACGGGGACGGATTCGAGAATCGGCATTTTTAAAAATTTAAGGATGCAGGGACGGCAAGAATTCGGCAACAAAAGATAATTAAAATATTAAATATAGGCATGTAAATGTAAAAAATAATATTCTTGTAATTTGTATATTAAAAAATTATAGAAATTATATATTAATAATCTATATATTAAGACGAATAAAACAAAATTACACATAACTATTTTTAGGCTTACACATTGAGAGAATTTGATGAGTCAAAGTGCTTAGATGAACAATTCCAAAAGTCAAAAGTGGACAAACACTCAGTACAGACCAAGTACTTAATTTACACTGTGTAAGAACCCAATTTTTTTTAGTTCTCTGTACCATAGTTTTAAAAACCAGACCGGATCGGCCAGTTCGGACCGTGAACCGGCGAACCGGTGGTCCAACCGGTCTAGTCCGGCCCATTGGACCGTAATGTGCTTCGAACCGGTCTGAACCGGCCGGTCCGACCAGTTTTTTTTTTTTTTGCAATCTTTTTCCAAAACTTCACATCATGGAGGTTTGAACCCAAGACCTCTTCGCTATTTGGTTGAGTTCATAACCATCCAACTAACAGTGTTTGTTATTTCAAATTCGTATATTTTTTTTTAATATTGCATAATTAATAAAAAGATTGTATAAAAATTACTTTTCAATTTTAAAAATATAATACGTAGTATTATATGCTATGAGTCAAACACAAAATCATTGATATGTTTTTAATAAAATTTTAATATTATTTTTAACATGTAAATTTTATCTTTTAATTTAGTAAAATAACTCAAGTATGTTAATATAATTTTAGTCAAATATTATAAATTACTTTCTTTATGTATAATATATATATATATATATATATATATATAATTTTTAAATATGTTTGAACCACCGGTTCGACCAGTTGAACCACTGGTTCGACCAGTGAACCAGTACCTTGATCGGTTCGGTCTCCGGGCAAAACTATGCTCTATACTAATACACTCTGTAGCACGAAAAAAATTGGGTTGAAGGCGAAGCATCATGGACTAGGGTGTAAACGAACCGAATCGAAGCGAATACCGATATATTTGAATTTGTATTTGTTTAATTTTTTCGAATACGAATCCATATCCGAATATGAGACAAATTCAAAATAAGATTTGAATAAGTATTTGATTAATATTCGAATAGTTATCGAATCATAAACGAATATTTGAACAATCATACTATGTAATTTATATGATGGACCAACATCAATTTGTAATCTAACTTACGATACTCTTTATACTATACTATATTCCGTATATAAAAACATTAATACATCTAAATCTTACTTAAATTATATTTTATAAAATATAATTATTAAAAATCATATGCTTTAGATTTTCGTTTTACGTTAATTTATTGAATGCTTAGTATTTTAAATACACTTTATACTATATTATTTTGTATGACTTTTGATGTTGAAAACATGGTCTGTGTATATATACATATATTCGAATATTCGAATATCATCCGAATCGAATATATCCCTATTTGTATTTGTATTTGATTAATATTCGAATCAAAAATAATATTTGAATTTGAATTTGAATAACGCGAATTCGAATCATCATATTCGAATACAAATCGCGAATCGAATTTAAAATATTTGATTTGTTTACATCCCTATCATGGACCACATAGTTGTCTCTAACAAAATACTACATCCGTCCCACTGTCTTTGTCCACATTTGACTTTTGGAACTGTTCATCTAAGCACTTTGACTCATCAAATTCTCTCAATGTGTAAGCCTAAAAATAGTCATGTGTGATCTTGTTTGATTCGTCTTAACATATAGATTATTAATATATAATTTCTATAATTTTTTAATATACAATTATAAGATAAAATGGATTAAAGAAGTGCATTGGATGGTGTGCCAAAAGGTAAGTGGACAAAGACAGTGGGACGGAGACAGTAATTGATAAGATTTTCCTTAAAAGCTCAGCGCAAGTTAAAGGGGAGGTAGAAGCGAATAGCTGTAGGGAGAAGACCGGCGGATCGGCGGATCAGTTCCGTCTGCGGTAGAATCTGCTCTGGATCCGTTCGGAAGAAGGCAAAATGCAATCGGCGACTGGGCGAGAAGACTGCAATCGGCGGATCAGATCTCCGACAATTCCGAACCTGTAGATGCGTTTCCGGTTCGCCGGTCGTCGTCCCCGCCGGCGAATCCGTCTCCGCGTCGCTTCCGGAGCGGGAGGCGGCACCAAATAGCCGAACCCGTATAACCTCAAAGTGGCCAACCGCATAGTGTCCTAAAATTTTAAGGTCTCATATTTTTAAATTTGACATTAATTTTAAAGCCTACGTATTCAAAAAAATAAAATAGGTTCAAAATGTAAATTTTGAACCGTATCAATTTTATTTTTTCATTTTTCGAGGCCAGCCCTCTCATAATTGACATATATTTTGACATTATAGAATATTATAAGAGATATTTTTGTATTAAAAATATTGAAGTTACTATTTCATACTCCAAATATAGAACATATTTTAGTTCTGTTATGCATTTTGTCCAAATCTAATTCCAAAAATCTCTAGATTCAAATATATATTCTGGACCTAACGATGAATACATCTAAACATGCCACAATCAATTTTTTTCAATCTCCATACAATTGTCAAATTATTTTAGACTTTAATATTCCCTCCGTCCCAAATTATTTGCCACATTTGTTTTTTCAATAGTTGCAGGAACTTTTGTTTATTTCTATGTTTTCATTGGTTATTTGATAAAATAAAATATTCTTGACACCTCTTATTTCGAAGAACTTTTCTTGTAGTTTTTTGATATGTAATTTTTATTTTTTATTTCTTTACCAATATGTAAATAAAATGAATTGAAAAAACTTGATATTTTGCCTCGTTAATAGAAATGTGACAAATAATTTGGGGCGGAGGGAGTAAGACAAATAATCAGGGACCCACAATTTTGAAATTTGAACTTCATTTGGATTTTGGAGGGAGTACAAACCCATTGTGGGATTTGAATAAAGGGCGCCTTTTTACCATTCCTTTTGCGTTGAAACGGGCAAAAGTAAAGAATTGTACCAGGTAATGCGGTATATGTGCCATAAAACCAGTTTTCTCGTGTAAAAATGTTCCCTTTTCGTTACAATCTTGAACTTCTTTAATTAACTTTTTTTTACTCCCTCCGTCCCTAAATATTCACAACATTTACTTTTTCAACAATCGCGGAAACTTTTGTTTATTTCGATGTTTTCATTGGTTATTTGATAAAATAAAATATTCTTGACACCTCTTATTTCGAAGAACTTTTCATGTAGTTTTTTTATATGTAAACTTTATTTTTTATTTCTATACCAATATGTAAATAAAATGAATTGAAAATACTTGATATTTTGCCTCGGGAATACAAATGTGGGAAATAATTTGGGACAGGGGAAGTATGAAAACATTTAATTAACTAGTACTCACAAATATTTATCTCAAAAGAAATCTCAATGGATGGAAGTAAAAAAGTTTGAAAATATTAAAAATAGGAATCCTATATCTTTTAAGATCAAAATAGGAATATCATAGCAATGTGGTGTAGAAGTACGTGTTGGCAGTGTCATGGAAAAGTGATGACAATGTAATATGTCAATGTAATCAGTCAAATGTCGGCGATCTGCAACGACACTCTGGTGATTGACAACAACAAACGACAGTGTGGCGGTGATGACACTTGCAATATAACAATGTAGTGGGTGTGAAAGCGTAACAATGATGTTATGAACTTTTATTTTGGTCTTAAATGACATATGGATCCTATTTTGGTATTTTCATAATTTTTTTACTTCTATCTAGGAAGTTTTCCTTTAGTTTCAGACTTGTACTTTCTTCCGTTCCAAATGTTCTAAACTTTCGCAAAACGAAATGAGTTTTTATGTTTTTTAAATGTATTTTATTAAAAAAGTGGTATAAAAATTAAAAATAAAACTTACAAACATAAAAACTACGTCAGAAATTCAACAAAAAAAGAGATGACAAGAAAATTTTATTGTATCACATGACTAATCAAAATATACAAATAAACCAAAATTTTTATGACGTACTTTTTAATAATGAAGGCAAATAATTAAATGTACCTAAAGTCCATGGTGGACTTTCATATATGTTAAATAAGCATTTTCGAGTGTTGAGATCAACATTTTTAAAATTAAAAAAATATGTGAGTCCATAGAATCGCTCATAATGAAAAATATAAAGCTTTTTAGGAGGAGGAAGAGGAAGTACTATTATGTTTGCATTTGGTTTGCAAAAAATATCTTCAAAAAAATTTAATTTTAATATTCTTTGTTAGGAAATGAACTTACTTGAAAAATATTAAAAAAAATCTATTCGATAAAAGTAATTTTTGTTCGTTTTCGAAGAAAGAGTCATATTCACTCTTTGCCCCACTCTCGTACAACCCCATACCCCACCCCTTCTGTCCTGTCCCACACCCAGTCACCTTAATCATCCTGTATTCCAACCCACTCCTATCCCTGCTCCCACCCACAACCGCCACCCCCCCTTCTTCTCACCCTCTCGCCCCCAGTGACGGATCCTGGAAAAATCAACGACTTGGTGCATATGCGGCTAAGAACAAGATGAGATTTAGGGCAACGCCTCCAAACTTTTTAAAAGACATTTTGGAATAATACGAAAAATATAAATTTTATATTAAATGCTCTTCCAATGTAATGCGTTTGTTCAATTGACTTTTTGGAATTAAATAAAAATTACGCAACACATTTCATATTGATACAAAAATGATTTAATTAGAATTAATTCAGTTTGACTTCAAAATGTCAAATTCGACAAACTCATTGAAATGTTATAAAATGAGTAATACTTGAGTCACAAACAAATAGTTTACAAAATATATATAATGTATATAGTTATAATTGATATTGTAAATATATTTTAATATAATTTCAATATTTTATTGCTATTTTAATCTTTTTCCCATCATGGTTTGTACTTTGTACACAAATAGACCTGGCAAAAAGTGACCCGACCTGTTTTTGACCCGAAACCCGACCTGAAAATACTGGGTTTTGAACAAAGGTTTTGATGACCGAACCCGAAGTTGACCGAACCCGAAATGACCCGCTAAAAATGGGTCAAACCCGACCGAACCCGAACCCGACCTGACCGACCCGCTAAAGTAAGAATTTTTCAAAATTGTACACTTTTTTACTCGTTTTTAGTGTATAAATTTATATTTTCAGACAAAATTTTAATGATATTGCATAATTATCTTACTTTTTCCCCAAAACATAAGCATTTTTAAATTCCTTATATTGATTTTTATATCTAAATACTACTTTAGAGTTTACAATAAAATAATTTTATAGATTTAATACTTTTTTTTTGATATTTTAAATTTATTAATGTGAATTTAAAAATTTAAATAACCAAAGTCATAACCCGTTGGGTCGACCCGAACCCGATGACACTGGGTCATGAACATAGAGTTCTCAATCCGAACCCGAATTGACCCGAACCCAAAATAACCCGAATTTGAAGTGACCGAACTCGAACCCGACCTGACCGACCGATTTGCCAGCCCTGTACACAAATAAAGAATGATTATTTATGTGTTTAAGTGTGATAGGATTACCCTAAATTTTGGTCCTTAAATTGTAACCTATCACACTTCCTCCAAAGTAACATCCTCTATTCCTCTCTTCAATTGTTTGGAACCATCCAAATTACCGCGTGACTCATTTCAATTTCTGAGTATCTAAACCCTACTTCCATGGCGCTTCTTCATTCATAACTCAATTCAACCCATACAAGGAGCCAATAACCTAATTCCGCCTGAAAATGCTATCCTGGCGTCAACTACTAGTCCAAACCCTAGTCCGGGTTAACACGACGCCATTGACGACCCGAACCCGATCATACAGTGCGAACAGGGGGAAGAAGGTGACTCTGTACTCCAGGATCAGCCCACTGGGAAGCCCGACCGCCTCCATAGTCCCCGAGCTCGATGAATGGGTACGGCAAGGCAATAAGGTCCGATTTGCAGAGCTTCAGCGCATTGCTATCGATCTCCGCAAGCGCAGGCGCTTCTCTCAAGCTCTTGAGGTACAAATCCACACTCCGTACTTGTCTCTGTCTAGGAACCTTGTGGTTGTGACACATTATATTTATTTTTGTTCGAGCTTTGCATGTGAAAATTAATTTTTTGAAAACTGAATGATGGTGAAATTTGAATGTGTGACCTCTAGTCTCTCGATCAGCAAGTCTCTGCATATGTTGATAATGACTTATACATCCTCATTTAATTTCTCTCTTTAACACTTGTGACTAGAACATGAAATTATCTGGGTATATTATCTGGTTTTTATTTTGTTAAATACTAGTAGTACACCATGCTTTTTTGTTAAATCTTTTAGAATGGTTTATGGTTGAAATAGTCATCTTTTGCTCGAACCAAACCACTTGTAACTTGAGTCTGGTGTACCTGGACCTTGCCTCAATGGTTTGGAGCTCTAATGCGTATAGTAATTATGTACCTCCTGAAAGTCTGGTTGCGATTTTTGAATTGACAATTGCTTAGTTGAGGCAGTTAGGTTGGTTGAGGCGAGGGGTGACTGGGTAAAGCCTCACCTCTCATTGAGACGCAAAGGGTTAAATGTGTGAACAAGGGTAGGTTTGACAACAAATGAACAAATTATTGTTTGCTTACTTTTCTTAAAGAATAGAATTTGACGTAGAGGGCAAGAGCAAATAACTTCTCTAAATCACCATTGCCATATGTTTACACAACCTTGGTATTTAGTAGGAAAACAGACATGAATGTGCATTTTATCAGGTATTCGACTGGATGAAAAAAAATGAAGCAGTTAGATTCTCTGCAACTGAGCATGCAATGCGTTTGGATCTTATCGGTAAGGTTCATGGGATTGTCTCAGCCGAAGAGTATTTCAATAGCTTGAGCGAAGAAGACAAGAATGAAAAGACTTACGGTGCTTTGTTGCATTGCTATTCCCGCCAGCTCCAAGTTGACAAGGCATTACTCCATTTGCAGGAAATGAAGGATAAAGGTCTTACTTTATCACCAGTTGCTTTCAATGACATCATGAGCCTTTACACGAGAAGCGGGCAGCATGAAAAAGTTCCTGAAGTGCTTGACCGTATGAAGAAACACGGGGTAAACCCTGACAATCTGAGTTACAGAACCTGTATCAATTCTTATGGAGAAAGGGCAGATATTGATGGAATGGAAAAAGTTTTGAACGAAATGGAAAATCAAGCTTATCTTAACATGGACTGGAACACATATGCTGCTGTAGCAAATATCTATATGAAGTCAGGCCTGCCACTGAAAGCAAACATCATGCTTGCAAAAGCAGAGGAGAAGATGGATATTAAAAACGAAGACATCTACAGTTTTCTCATCTCATTACACACTAAGCTGGGAAACAAAGCACATGTCTTTAGATTGTGGGAGACAGGAAAGAGTAATTGTAAGAAAATCATTAATCAACATTATTTAACTATGCTGAAATCTCTGGTAAAACTAGATGAACTTGAAGAAGCACACAAGCTTCTAACGGAGTGGGAGAAGTCTGGAAACTGTAATGATCTTCGAGTTCCATGCACAGTTATTATTGGATATATTGACAAGGGTTTATATTCAAATGCTGAAAGTATGCTTAAAGATTTAAAAGATAGAGGAAAAATAGCGTCTCCGAGAATATGGGGCAGAGTTGTGGAAGGCTACCTGGATAAAGGCGAGTTAGAGAGAGCCATAGCGTGTATGAGTGTTGCCTTTCCTTTGAGAAACAGTAAAGGATGGAAGCCTACTACTAAGGTTATTATGGGAATATTAAGTTCTCTGGGTGAGAGGTATAGCTCAAAAGAAGCAGAAACATTTTTAACTTTGTTGAAAAAATATGTACCATTGAACAGACCGATGTACCATATGCTGCTCAAGTCCTATGTGGATAGCGGAAAAGATGTGGAGGAGCTTTTGAACTCCATGAAAGATGACAACATTGACGAAGATGATGAAACAAAGATGATCCTCAATATGAACCAGTCTGGAATTTGAACAGTGAGTAAACTTCTATCAATACAGATTTTTTTGGTACTTATTTTGTCTTTTTTGGTCATATGCATATCGGCTTTTGGTTATTTTATTTTAGCAATGTTCCATATCCAAATGGCTAAGACTTGAGACTCAACCATTGTAAACTTTTGAACTTTCAATCGATGATGTGAAAATCGGCCCAAGCAGTGGCAAACCTAAAAGACTTTCACAAATTGGCGGTGTATAGCAGGCTAGGCAACCTCTTTGGTGCGACATAAGGAAAATGCTTGGCGGGGAATATGTGTTTTCTTTTGTAACACACACACTCCCTCTGCTCCATAAACATAGTCTATTACTTCTATAGAAATAAATTTAATTTAAACATTAAATTTGACATCTAGTTTACACAGTTTGATCACATTAAATATGTAGTACTTCACAATTTTTTTAGATACAAAGTAGTTCACAAAGATACCCTCTAACCCTCATTCTATCCCGAAATAAACTCCACAGTTTCTTTTTTCATTTGTACAAAGAGAAACATGTGGCTCACAAGTTCTTTCTCCCCTCTAAACAAATTCCAATCACATACTCCCTCCTTTTCTTAAAACAATTCCTATTTTGTTTTTACGTGCAAAACCCCATCTTTCTTTAAATGATTTTATCAACAAATTCGTATAGAAATAAAAAGTAAAAGATACATATTTAAAAACTACATAAAAAATTCTACAAAAACAAGTGGTGACAAGAATATTTTATTTTGTCAAATGACTAATGAAAAACACACGCAAACAAAAGTTGTCGTGATGTCTTAAATAGTAAATAGGAATGGTTTTAAAAAACAGAGGGAGTGAGTAGCAACTGCCTACCATTTTTGCAACCTTGCATTCAATGAGAGCAAGCTAGTTTAACTACACTAGCTTAAAAATCAAAAGAAAAAAGTGTTCCCAAAAGTTAAAACTAATACTCCACCCTCCCCAAAAGAAAGTTATGGTTTGACTTCATGAAGCTTGAGAAAATTGTCGAAAAGTAAAATAGAAAAGATAAAAGTTGTTTAGATTAGAGATAAATGTTGCAAGCCACTTAATCCTTTCTTTTTATGAAAAAAAAAAAAAAGATTTTCATTTAAGGACGAACTGGAAAAGCAAAGTGAAAATTTCTTTTTGGTACGGATGAAGTACATTACACTATGCTCAAAGGAATGTTCTCGATAGGACTCAGAGCTCTAAATTTAATGGTTCCAGCCAGTGGGTCTTAGGAGTTAGGAGTCAGACTTACTTTCTATCTCAATGAGAGTTTCATGTGCCTAATTTTCCCAGCCAAAATGAATGCCAATTTTGAAGCCATATATTTTGGTCTTCACTGATCACAGTAATCATGCATGGTGCATTGGCATTGAAGCCGCTCGATAACTCATGGCTTCAAAATCACACCAAGAATGCATTCATCTTGGGAACCGCTACTATAAAATCCCTCTTCTTCTTCTTCTGATTTATCATTCATCTACAAGTCTACAACTAATTGAATTTGTTTTACCTTTTCAAAATGGCTTCTTCAAATATCGCTTGCTTGGTTTTCATGTTCTTATTGATAACAACTGCATTTCCATCATGTTTTTGCTCAGAGGAATTTCCAGACCAGCCTTCAATTTCTGCAGCTGGAAATCGTCCTCTCCATGGCTTCCCAAAGACCAGAGGAAGAATGCCCTATCACTCCAATTATGATGCTAATGTAAATGCCAGTGAAGAACAGAAGATTGGAATGAACCACGAGAAGGTAGACAAGAAGGGAAACTGAGTGAACCCGCGGCACCTTAGACATTTCTGCTTAGCGACTCAACCAACATATATAGTTGAAGCAATGCCATCAATTTTCCTACAATTCTACATCTGTTGCATTATAATAACGGATACGATGAAATGTCGCGTTGTAAAAATTGATCGTATCCAAATGTAACACCGGGATCCTAATAAATTTTGAATAACGTTATGAGTTTGAATAAAAGCGTAGCTTTTGCTAGAGTTTGGTCACAGTTTTTTTTCCGGAGAAAAATTCATCAAAGTTTTTGGCAATGAACTTATTTTGCGAAAACAAAGAGTAAGAGAAGGTAGATGTTTCTCTGTGTATAAAATATAAATCGGTCAAAATATCATATTTTATTTAAGTTATTTCTGAGTTATAAGTTACATGATGAAATATTTTTATGTGGTTATAACCCATTTTGGTCAAAGTCATTTACAACTATTCTTACATTCGGTGGGGTTCCCATGACATTGGAATCTCATGTCATGAGATTGACATTTTTATGAATGCCTGGTTTTGCCAATGAGAATTAAACTTATTTTTTCGAAGGACATACACAAAATTTAATTTTTTTTTACAAAAATAAAAACTAACAACTTGTTTTCTTCAACTTATTTTTATTACGTATTCCGTATTACTTATTCTTATAAACCTTGTGGTGAAACAAAATTTAGGCATGTTAAATATCTCATTGGTTCCCATGACATTAGGAAGCAATGTCATGAGATGACTCGGGGGTGCTCCGGTGCCCCGTTCGTAAAATTGACGGTTCCTACCCCCTCTAACCCTTTCGGTAAACTCCTCATCCCGCCCCGACCTGAACACACCCTTTCACCCCCTTTAATTGCACTACTCAAAGTTAGCTTTAACTTTGGAGTCAAATTTTGAAAGATAAAAAAATTTAATTACGTTTAATCGCATACATTTTAATTGATATTTTTAAATGCAAATCACACCGTGCATGTTTTCTAAACAAAGAAAGTTAAAATTTTTCGAACCAATAGAATGAAAAGTGTGAAGATAATTAATTATGAGAGGGGTATGATTATAACATCAAACTAATAAAACATAAGTTTGATGCAATGAATGAATGGATTAATTAATCAACTAAAAGCCTAAGTGTGCAGTTGCATAATACATATGGTATGAACCTGACAAGTGTTCATTTGGATATGAAGTAGGAGACGAGTGGTATTAAGGTGACGTGATATGCTACATTGTTTAATCTTCCCCACGTAATAGTATATACACACATAATCAATCCTCTAATCCGATAGGTACCAACTATATTTGTGCACAACAAAAATGTTTGGGGTATATAAAAAATTTGACATAGAATTTCTAAGAGACATGCATAGATACTAATAATTAATTTGTACATGAAAGTTTTTTAGTTTGTATGTGTCAAAAAAATTTGAAGTCAAAATCTGTGTACCCTGGCACTACTATCGTACGCAATCATTCTAATTTTAAGACATGTTTATTCAAAATATTGATATCTCGTCAACAAAAAACATAAGTTTCATTTCTTACATAGAATAAGAATTGAATTTCTATGAAATTATATTGGCCGGATGACACCTAATCTTTTGTTTAATACAATTAAGGAATTGAAATAGAATTTTATTATAATTTCAAATTCTTTGTTTGGTCAAACAAAACTTTGTGTAGAACTGATATATATCTATATTTTGGGTTTTCAACTCTTGATCATTGGTTGTTTGTGTAAATTGTTCTGAATAACTGATGAGTTTAGTAAGTTTCACCAATAAAATATTTTGGTAGAATTTTTCATTTTAAATTTCTAGTTTTTACTTTTTAGGTTAAATTTTTAAATTTGAATTCCTAAATTATAAACTAATAAATTATAATTTTGAATTTCAAATTTCAAATTTCAATTTTAAAATTTAAATTTTAAATTTTAAATTTTAAATATTAAGTTTTAAATTTAAAAATTTTAAACTTTCAATTTAAAATCTTAGATTTTAAAAGATTTCAAATTTTGAGTTTTAAATCTTAAATTTTAAATCTTAATTTTTAAATAATAAATTATAAATCTTAAACTTTAAATTTTATATCATAAATTTTAAATATTAAATATTAAATTTTAAATTTTAAATTTTGAAGTTTAAATTTAAAATTTAAAAAATTTAAATTTAAAAATTTAAAATTTAAAATTTAAAATTTTATATTTTAAATTTTAAATTTTAAATATTAAATATTAAATTTTAAATATAATTCTAAATTTTAAATTCTAAATTTTAAATTTTAAATATAATTCTAAATTTTAAATTTTAAATTTTTATTTTTTATTATTAAATTATACGGAGTATGAGAAAAGAAGAACAAAAATAAATGAGTTCAACCCAACTCATTAATATGAGATCTTTTGGGACTTATCTAAAATTAAATCTATCCGAGAAGATTCCATTTAGAGCCGATAATATATACCATATTAATATAAAATTAGGATGAGGGTATGCATGCGTAACCCCAACAAACTATACACTTTTTCACATTTATAATGAGTAAACAAGCCGGTGAGGTGTATATTAGCAGTTAATATAGGGGTGCTACAAAAATGTGATCCCGAGTTTGAACTCTGGTACCTGTGAATCCCACCTTTATATGACTTAAATTATAACTCAAATTACCTTTTTTTAACCAATTTGTCTAGTCGATGTTTAAGGGCCCTCGGGGATGAGGTGTCATTTTTTATTATAACGAGTAAACAAGAAGACACCAATAGAAATATCAAATCATAACTTTACAAACCCAAAAGATAGAGTAATGTTAATTAGCTTCTTTTTTTTTTTGAAAGGAATTAGCTTCTTTTTCACTCTAGTATTAATAAAGTACGGGAGTCCCATTGTCATTTAAAAAAAGCTTTTATACCCACATGTTTGGGGACAACCTTAAGAGTTAGAGTTAGCATTTCCTATCCAATCACAAAAACTATTTTCAAACAAAAATTTTTTTGACAAAAAATTGGTGTAAATTTTTTAATAAAAAAGTGGCGTCTTGATTCAAATTCTAAAAACGAGATCAAGGCCAACTACGTTTAACATGGGGCCCTTGTAAATATCAAAGAATGACCTCTCTACCTCTCTTGATATTCATCGAGTTTTATTTTATTAATCATATATAGTGTATAAATTTTAATCATTAAATAAATAAAAATTATAGTCATTACATATTAGTACAGAAATAATTTTATTAGATTTATCTTACAGAAATGCTTGTAAAATTTATGTCATTTTACCAATAATATACAACAGTACCAATTTAATATAGTTGATGATAAAAATTTATTTGATTTAACTCAAAAAAATTAAATTTAAACGAATAGTCAAACACAGAAGAGGTACACACACATATAATATTTTGATTATTTTAATAAGAAAACATTTTTTATACACATACACAATATATTTTATACCGAATATATTTTTACTTTATCATACGGAGTATATACGATCTATTTTTTTTATATTTTATATGCTCAGTATTTCAATATAATACATAATTAATAATATGGAACTTTAAAAAAATGGAAAAGCCATATCCAAATCTTAAATTAGCACTTTAATTGATTTTCTTTTGATTTAAAAAAAAAAGAGTCGAAAACTAAGTTAGTGGGCCCCATGATTGATCATCTCCATGTGCTGCTGCAAAGACCGCTGCCGCTGCAACCTCATCTCCTCATTGAACTTCTTGATGAACGCTTCCACTCGCCGGTTCAACTCGTCCTGACTCAGCCACGGCTCTCTCCGGCACTTCGCCGCCGCCGGCAGCTCGTAGCTCGTCCGCTCCTTAAACGTCCGCGACTTCAGCTGTCCCTTCCGGGGATGCGGCGGCGCGTGGCTCTTCTCCGTTATCATCCTCCACGTGTCTTCCATAGTGGCATTCGGTTTTAGCGCCGTTTTACGTTCGTCGGCGAATTGCGTTTTCTTGGTCGGAGCTATAGACTCGCAGCCTATTAGAACAAATATGAAGTTTGAACTTTTAAGTTGAATTAGTTTCTGGATTGTTGTCGATCATCAGTTTTTTAATGAGAAATTTTCGAATACAATATTGGAGCAAAAGCAAATCTCTCTTACATCTGAGGAGACATGTTAAAATATATTCCCTCCAATACATTTTTTAATAAATTTATTTATTTATCTTTCAGATACTTTAAGAAAATTATTGAAAAATAAATCTTTCATATATTGAGCTGAGGAGATTAGAGAGACATTTTCTTTAGAGTAAAATTCTATAAATGATCCCATATAACATATCATGATGTTTTTATATGTTGTCCCCAACTCGAACTTACATTCTTGGTCTTCTATATTTGAAAATAACTTCATATTGAGTCATTTGACTCAAAGTATGAAGTGATTTTCGAGTATCGAAAACAACAAATGTAATTTTGTAGAATTGAAGAGTGTATATAAAAATATATAACATTATAATAGATCATTTATACTTCCCCAATCTCATAAAACTTTTTAAAGATGAAAAATGTGTGCCCTAAAAATATAATTTTAATATTTTATCTAATTTTTCTCTTATTTTATAATAAAGTAATAAATGATGTGTTAGATAAATGAGTCATAATAAAAGAATATCAAAAGTTAAGCCTTTTTAAGGTACACATTTTTTAATTTATGAAAAATTTTATGAGACGAAGAAAATACTCCCTCCGTCCCTAAATAAACTTCCGTTTTTGACTTTTTGAGGATTTAAGGGAGGGATATATTGGTGTTGACTTTCCAAAAATACCCTTGATGTGATGTGTAAAAGTAAGATGTGATATGTAGATTATTAGTAAAAAGGTATGATGTGATAGGTAGGGTATGAAAAAGTAAAGGGTAAAAGGGGTTTTTTTTAAAAAAAGAGGAGTTTATTTAGGGATAAAGAAAAAACGAAAGAAGAAGTTTATTTAGGGACGGAGAGAGTAGTATTTACTAGGGACGCTTAAAAAAAAAAGAAAGAATGACAGAACCTATTTGACATAGAAATTTTTTTAAGACATAAAGTTAGAAAAATTACGAGTACTTTTCTTGAGACTACAACCAAAATTAAAACTTCACCTCGGTTCTTGACCATTGTCACGGGAGAATCGTCATTCACGGCGGAAAAAACCGGCCGATCTCCGGTGATATGATTATCGACCCTCTTAATAATATGATCGTCTTCCATACGGCGGCTTTCGGGGGGTTGGAAGCGAGAAGCGTAAAGAAGGGTGAGGATGATTGCGTTGATGACGGCATAGAGGTACGGTGGCCGGAGGCAGGCGGCGACGGTGGGGAGATGGTGGTGGAGGAGAACCGGAACCCAAGCTTTGATTGCCGTGGCTAGACCCCCTGCGCCGGTTGATATGAACACAATCTTGAGATAAAATATCAAAGTGGTTGTGGTAATCGTCATCTCGTCTTTAATTAATACTGTATTTTGAGTTGGAAGCTAGGCATGGACGACCTATATATATATGGCATGGGTTTGCTATGGAGGAATATACTCCCTCCTCCCCATAAAATCATTGGTTTGAAAAAAGACATGCTTTTAAAATGAATAATTTTAGTATTATTTTTCAATTATGACTTATTTATTCTACAAATCTTATCTACTCTAGTTTTTGTCCACTTTTGACTTTTGGAACTGTTCATCTAAACACTTTGACTCATCAAATTCTCTCAATGTGTAAGCCTAAATATAGTCATGTGTGATCTTGTTTGATTTGCCTTAACATATAGATTATTAATATATAATTTCTATACTTTTTTAATATACAAATTACAAGATAAAATAGATTAAATAAGTGCATTGGATGGTGTGTAAAAATGAAAGTGAACAAATACTCTGGGACGGATGGAGTAATATAATACTCCGTGTATGTATGTATGTATGTATGTATGTATGTATGTATGTATGTGTGTGTGTGTGTGTGTATATATATATATATATACATACATATATATAGGATTAAAATATATGATCAATTATTTGCATTTATATTGATGCATTTTATTTTTTGTTTTTCATGCATCGAATACTCCCTTCTCACAATAATATTCTAGTTTCAGATTATGATGTTCAAATGAAATTGTTTTTAATTCAAATTATATAAAGCTTATATTGGTGTAGAATTAATAAATAAAATTTATATAAATTTTAAAATTAATTAAAAACTTTATAATAGAGTAAGATGAGATGTGTTTGATAGATGAACCATATATAATTTAAATTACATTAAAATAAACCATTTTAGAGACATTTTTTTCCAACCAGGAAAGATCTTATAGACGGTGGGAGTAATATATAATTGTCCAATTATAATAAACTTAGATCATAAAATTCAAATTTTGCGAGGATAAAAAATAAAACCCTAACTAATAATGTTGTTCATAATTTAGGGAATAAATAAAATATAATGGATAAAATAAATTTGAAGAAAGTATAATTCAAGAATTAGTTTAACCCAGCTACAAGGATTAGGACATGCCAACACGCAACAGCCACATGCATGGTGTATATATATATTAAATGGTCCTTATCTAATTATTATAATTAGTACTCTTAAGATAATTCTTAATGGGTGCACCCATGATTTCCACAGACAAATACAGACGATAATTTTCTGTGCGACACAGATAATTATCGTCTGTGTTTGTCTGTGCGAAGCATGGGTGCACCCATGTGGTGGCACCCTAGCATTTTCCATTCTTAATTCAGTGTTAACCAAATGCAAAACAAAACAAGCTAAGCCTAAGAAGTTTTTTAAACCACGTAATTATTTTCAATTAAGAAAAGTAAAGAAACAAGTTCATTTAATAGTGGAGGGAGTACGAATGTATTCCAAAAGGATCCTGAATGGAAAGTTTAATTTGTTAGACACTACTCAAACATGCATGGTGACAAATTCTTGCATGTAATTACTAATTAGTGCATAATCTACCATGTTTAGTGGTAGTGGATATTTATTTGAACAATGTCCAGTGTGCATTTACTTAAACAATATTCATTGAACGTTGAAAATTGATACTACATTAAAAATTAAAATATATGGTATGACATTGAAAAAATATTCACTATGTGTTAATAATATAGGCAAATTCTTCATCTTTATATATTCTAACAAACAAGTATTCTATATTTATCTTATTGTTGAAGTAAGCAATTTAAATATATAAATTAAAAATTGGTATTAGAATTTTCATTTAACTAATGGTGAATGTTGATCTAATTATTAATTTGATTGTGAAAAAAATTTAAACTAAATAAAAAGATGACTAGTATTATTTTTTGCCCTTATTTTTGTCATCTTATTCTCTCATTTAGCGAGAGAATAAACTAATTAACATATTCCATATAATACAAATGAGACCTTATGTGTTTTTATATTAAAATAAGACTTTTGCTAGTACACAATATCAAGTTGCGTACATTGTTACAATGCAATATACCTAATAAACTTGAGAAAAAAAGATCAAAATAAAACTAAAACATAACAAGGATACCTTTAGAAAAATATAGCAAGGAGTACAAAATAAGACCTTTATCTTTTTATCCCCAAAATAAAATTATGACTATTATACAAATAATGGCAACATATACTATGTAAAAATATTCTGGAGTACTGGAATTTCAATTATATACAGTACCATATTATCATAACAAATGAAACATAAAAATCTTATTTTGGGTGTAACTTCAATGTTTTAATCTTAATTACGTAGTTATTTTATTTATTTTTGAGGTCCTCATCATTATATAATTCATATGTCTGAGAAATAATTAATACTTTCTTTTTTGGTATGTATAAAAATCAATTTTACAATTCCCAATTTTATTTTTATGGAAACGTACACCCTAAACAAATACTCAATATGTAGATATGATTCATTCAGGCCTCGTTTGGTACACGGAATTCAAACTATGGAATTGGAATTGAGAACTTCAATTCCAATTCTCGTGTTTGGTAGCACAAAAATTATGTGAATTTAGAATTGGTAGTGCAAAAAATGAATTAGAATGAGTGAATTCAATTCTATGGAATTGAATCCCATGGAATTTTAATTTCAATTCAATTCCAATTCCATCAATTCCGTGTATGTATCAAACGGACCCTCAGTGTTTTTCAAATAAATTTTAACTATACATTTTCATAATCTTCTCATTTTTTAAGAGGTAGAGACTATATCCTCTCTCATAATAGCTAAATTCGCTTTATTTATGTAAAATAGAAAAATATATTATTAAAATTAAAATTGGCTAACGTTGAATACATGTCTTGTGTTTTTGAGGGTAAAAGTATCGATTTAATTATAAATGAGATTGATGTAATCATTATACAGATAGATATAGCAACACCCTTTGAAATTACTCCCTCCGACCAACAATAATGTTCTCGTTGCGTGCTGCGATATTTGGTTGAAATTCTTTTCAAATCACTTTGTATGAAAAATAATATGAGATTAATAAATAAAAATTACACGAAAAGATCTGCACAACTAGATATGACATGAATATACTATTTTATCAAATGGGTAACAAAAATACACCAACAAAATAACAAAACCTGATAAATAATAAATGAGAACATTATTGTTGGAAGAAGGATTATTATTAATACTAAAAAAAGGTAACATTGACCCCATGCGCCGACTACCCTATATAAAATAAAAGGAGTTGAACCCAATTAACTTCCACGGGCCATGGCCCGGACTCTTTTGTCGTATTAAAGGCCTTTGAGCGGAGATATTGTGCTTCCTCCCTTGGGGATGGCCCAAATTGTTTAAGAATTAAAATGGGCCCTTTGGTTTCACTCGGGTGGGGTTACATTAGCATGGGCCGCATCTCAAACCACAAAGATTCACAAATGCTAGCTATAAATATACCCCTACTTCTCAAATTAATACAAATGAGTTGAAGGATACTGAACATAGTCATATTATGGGTTTTTAATTACATAATTTTTATTTTTAATTATTACTTCATTATTTAAATAAATAAATAAATAAAATAGGTCAACCATCGTAATCAGATATTAATGACTATTAATTTGGGAAAGAGAGAGAGAGAGAGAGAGAGAGAGATGTTTTAGATTGTGCTATTGTGTGAGGCATTTTTGTAAATTTAATTCTAAATTTGATTTTTTTATGATTAATATTACTTGTACTCTAGGGTATAAAATTTTGACTACTCCCATCATCCAATAATTAAATCCGCACTTTTCCTTGTTTGTCGACTGAAGAATTTACAATGTTCCATTTACAAAGTGGTATAAAGTTGAAAAAAAAAATACTCCGTACATATTTTTTTTTAAAAAAATTAATCCATTTCCAATACATACTAAATTGAAAATAAACTTGGTCAAACATCATTATGCCATTTATGCGTGCAATATTTTTTTAGACCAATGAGTATTCCATAAATACTCGTATACTCCGTAAAGTCCGTAGCAACGACGGGTTGAGATGATGACCGGGTTTGCGGATTAATGCTGAGAGACTTTCGGCCTTAGTTTGAAGCATCTTGGTTCCATTTTATTTTTTTATTTAATTATATATTTTTTTTGAAGACATTCAATTGTATTTGTATTTAATAGAAAAATAAATTTGAGAGAAGAATTCTATTTTTGTTTAAAAATAAATGAATTGGATCCAGAACTGTTTGTTAGGCATAATTATTTAAAAAAATAAATGAACCGGAACCGAACCGTTCGTAGAACATTGGAACCGAACCAAAACCGTACTCGTCGAAAAAAGTTTTAGTTCTGATTCTTCCCTTTAAGGATTGGGGATCTCGCAATCTCCAGCTTCACGTTAAAAAACAGTGCCAACTTATTAATGTATTCTAAGCACTCAGTTGTTGTGGTTCAATTCAAACAAGAAGGAGAATCTTGCCAATGTGGTTGCTGCTCTCCATGAGCCGGTGGGCTTCTGCCGCTTCTGCCAACGGGAAACGCCAGTTGACCACCGGTTTGACCTTCCCCGATTCTATCGCGGGCCAGACATTCTTCTCCACTTCACTCACGATCAACGCTTTGTTTTCCGCGCTCCGGTTTCGTAACCCAGCAGCTACAAAGGATAGTAAAAGTGACACCATCCATATACCAATTCACCTTACTAGCTCTAAAGACATCTATTTACTTCATCCATTCTTAAATAACTACCCATTTTGACTTTTTAGTGTAAAAATATCCATTTGCTCCTCATTTGATTCTTTTGGTGAGTTTTGAAGATATGATATGATATGGGTTTTGAGATCTCGGAAAATTGATGTGGGTTTTGAAATCTGAAATGAAGTTGCTTAGAGAGATTTAATTAGTGATATCTGGAGGTGGCCGGCAACGGGGATGGTTGGCGGTGACAATCATAGCCGATGCCGGGAAATGGTCAACGGCTAAGGCATATATCAAAACCCTCCAATTCAAGGAATTGTGAGATCTGGAGATATCAAATTCGAGATCTCTTTAGGTCCCACCAAACACCAAAAAAGAGTTACGATATCTGGAGATATCAGAACCCATATCTTTTTTACTTACCAAACATACCATTAGTGTATCTAAATCAAAATGGATAGTTATTTAAGAAGGAACACTACAAAGTAGACAAGAGGAAGGAGAGATAGAGAGGGAGTTTTGTAGGGTAGTGTACCTTGGACAGTGAGGCGTCTTGCAAGCAAACCAGCAAGGTTCACCTGTGTAACAGTGCCTCCCATGAAGCCAATAATGAATAATCTCCCATCAACATTTAGGCTGTCAATGTTTTTCTGGAGGTAAGGCCCTCCAATGTTGTCCAATATTACATCAACACCTTCCAAATTCCACAATTAAAGCATCGTCAACAACAACAGCAACGACAAACCAAGCAAAATCACACAAAAGTATAGTCAGAAATAGAGATGTTTCTAAGAGACTCCCGACTCAAGCACAGAAACACAAACAAAATAAACATCTTAGGATGAACAAAGTAAGAGCACGGATAAAAGAAGCACCCATAACAACACTTGCAACGGAACCCAAAACATAGAAAACACACATGTGGACTAAGTTGCAACAATCTCAATATAAGCTGCACAACTCAAAATTCATACTTCTACGAAGGATAGGTTAATAATCCCACGTGGAAATAAATATTAAAATGACACGCACATGTAATTATAAGGTCATGTGTTAGACTAGAGTCTCTATTAAATTCCATATTTTAATGTTTATGTGCCTCTTGCAAATTCAACTTTCAGTTGAATATCGAAGTATCACGAAAATGGTAACAAGTGCCTCTTGCAAATTGTGTTAGACTGATGTTTTTCAAAATAGATAATTTAACTCTTTTCATGATCCCCCCCCCCCAAAGTTCAAAACCCTCACATTTTGAAGGGTTAGGGTCAGCTGAGGCATTCTTCCTAACCCTAAAACGGTTAAAAGAGACATATGAGCATAAAATTCAAACACAAAATTAGACAAAATCAATAGAAAGATTCGAACTCAAGAAGTTACATCTATACAAAGTGAAGTTAACGGAGTTTAAGAAAAATAATGAAAAAGTGATGTGTGGTTGAAATCTGTTTAGAGAGGGAAAAAAAATTGTGAGCAACATCTACCATTCCTTATAAAGAAAAAAATGAGAAGCGTCAGGTTTATTTTATGACTACCAAAAAGGAAAAGTATGAAATATATTTTGGAACGAAGGGTGTATACTTATCTATATAGAGAATGGGTGGGGTGAGGGGGTGTCAATGTTTCCCCCTATGGATACGCCATTGTTTAAATATAGTCATGGAAAAGTTGATTGAGTTCGAACTTTTCTAGCCCTATATGTTGTATATATTCTTCAAATAAGTGTTGATTCACGTCGAGACATCCCCATTTGGGTACTTGAGGACATCTCGACACCCAAATCCTTTATAAAAATTGAAAAAGTTGGTGTTTTAACATTTTGACCCTGTCCCCCATATAAGTACCCATCCCCGCCTTGTTGCAACTAATAAGTAGTCCTAATATACATACCGGCCAAGTTATTGTGTTGTATGGAATTAATTTTCACCTTTTCCACCGGTTTCTTGCTTCACACGAGAAACAAAGTCTTCGGTCTTGTAATTTATGCAAACATCTGCTCCAAGGTCCTTGCAAGCTGCAAGCTTTTCCTCACTTCCTGGTGAACAATATATGGCTCCTTAATACATATAAAAATAATTTATAACTTCAAAAAGTTATAACAAAGTTCTACAATTGACCTCACCTGCTGTGACAAAAACTCTTACTCCAAGGTGCTTAGCCATTTGAATGGCAAATGTGCCTATTCCACTAGAGCCCCCATGTATCTGAAGTTGCATTGAACATTATCAGTACTCGGTAAAATCTACGCCAAAAAACAAACCCAAAAACCAATTTCCTTAGATCTGTTTTCCTTTAACTGCCATTCTCTGATATCCGAGTTCCAAATACAGCCCAAGTGAAATATTTAAAATCTCAACTTTGTACATCAAATTTTGGAAGTGCCAAACATCCACTCAATCTGTGACTGCAGCAAAGCCAAGCAGATATAATTGAAAACTAAAGAACTAAAGCAGATATAAGTTACCAAGAAAGATTCCCCAGAGGATAGCCGGCTCATCATAAAGACAGTCGACCAAACAGTACAAGCAACCTCAGGGAAACTGGCTGCATCTTGCAATGAAACACCACGTGGAACGGGAAGGACCTGTCCAGCTGGCACAGCCACTTTCTCAGCATAGCCTCCGCCACCAACAAGAGCACATACCTGCGGAATATGGCTCTCTCAAGTGAGGGTCTATTCTAATTTACTGAACCGAATCTAACTGAACTATAACTAAAATAAATTGAACGGAAAGTTGGTTGTAATTCTGACAAAAAGTGCTAAACCGAATAAATAATCGGCCCTAGTCGTATTATGCTACTCCCTCTGATCTTTTTTAACTGATCATTGTGACTTTTTGATACATTAGAAATGTATGAATGTAGGCATGACGTATATCCATATCCATTCGAGTTTTGAGGCATCACGAAAGTTATAATGGTCAATTAACAGTGAATGGAGGGAATAGAGCTTTTAAAAACTAGATAAATAATTGCCCATTAGCTTTATTCGGCTCTATAGAAATTTTAGCAGTGATAGTTAGCATCAAATAACACAACCGTCAACCGGTAAGCCCTTCATTGGTCAGACCGTGAGGCGTGAGACTGGTGAGGGGATATTGGTAAGGACTGGTTGGCTGAAAAAAAAGAGAGGGTAATATGCTGATTTTTTACAAGGAGAATATAGGGTAACGTCCATTTCAGCAAAATAAGCAGAAACTTGCTACCAAATGGAACCTTAACCTTGATGGCCATAGGTAATAGCTAGAGCTTAAATGTATGGAGCATCTTCTACATCAGAAAGCTCAATTACTCCTTACTCTAGTTGTCCAGTTTCCATAATATCTCATTTTGGGTAGTAGTAAGTCTAAAGTATCAACCAAGTCACTCATTGATTTCAAACAATGACATTTCATAGGGTCTGATGGGTGAGCGCAAGAGACATTAGTTCTGATATCTCTGGATACTAGAACTCATACGTTCGGTATAATCTAAACAAGATTCAGATTAGATAGGGTGCATTAATATCTCCATAGTTTAGTAGAAATTGGGGGAGTTTTGAGATCTCTCCGAACACTTTCATTTACATTTTGAATTTCAAAACTCATAGCGTTTTTTCCCAATTTCAAAACTCATAGCAATTCGTTTACTAAATTTAGGAAATATTAACAACTAATTCCAGACAACACAAAAACTATAAAGTGATCAACTAAAGTGTGATCAGATTGAGAACTAACAATTCATGAAGCAGGGCAATCCAATCAAACCACGACCAATTCCTAGTTGTGGAGTTTGGAGATGATCTCACCTGGTCACCGACCTTCCACTTGCTGACATTTATTCCGACAGCTTCAACGGTGCCGGAGCACTCAAGACCAGGGTAATCGCTGTCTCCCTTGGGAGGAGGGTATTTGCCTTGGCGCTGGAGGGTGTCGGCACGGTTGAGTGCCGTGGCCGCCACTCTGATCAGCACCTCGTCGTCTTTCATCTTCGGGTCCTCCACTTGTTGGATTTGCAGAACTTCCGGCCCGCCCGGTGCTGTGATCACGACTGCCTTCATGGTTTTGAGGCGGAGACGGCGACGGCCGAGGGACGACCGTGGCGGACTATCCTCGAGTTTAAAGGTGAGATGACATGTGTCTATTGTCCGATGCACGGTTCAAGATAAAGGATTAAAGATTGGACTTCTACACACTTTTCTCAAGACATAAACCAATATGATTGTCATCCTTCATAAAATCCTATTGGGTAAAGCTATTTGTACCCCATATTTTGTACCCCACTTTGTACCCCATAGCTTTGCACCAACACTTTGTGTTGGTGTAAAACTGATTTTTATTAATGCACCAACATTTTGTGTCTGTGTAAATTTTTGTTAACACACCAACACTTGTGTCGGTGTAAACCATCAAAATGTTTGTGTATAACTACGGTGTACAATTGGGATACAATTTGTGGTGTAAGTGTAGCATAACCCAATCCTATTGGCTCTAATTAAGGACGGGCAAATTTTATGGTAGATCTAAGATCTATCATGATTCATGAATCTATATATGAGTAAAATACACATTTTTTACTATATAAATAAGTATTTGTTTAAGTAAAAAAATTATGTGAGAAGGTCCACACAAATGATATGCACTCAAAGTATACCAAAAAAACACTCATTTAGTATTTATGTTTAACTCGTAAAATTAATGATTCATATCTTCTAATTGTCTTGATAAACCCCCTCATCTCAACCTGAGTCAATCCTCTCATCCCCTTCAATTACTTTTCCCAAATTTAGTTGAGAAATTTACCTAAAATGATCTAAATTTGAGAAGTACAACTAAAGAAGGTGGCGGGGGGAGGTTAGAGACATGAATCACTAATTTTATGAAGCGTATGTGTCTCAATTGAAGCTAATATTATCTCATGACATTGAAATTTAAAACACTAGAAACTAGAATCATATTATTAATGCAACAAAAATAGTATAATAAAAATATGAGAGAGAAAGTCTCACAAATAAGTACGATGCTTTAACCTTCTAACTAACGCATGAGCAAGAACAAATGAAAACTCTTTCTTTCATGTTTGAAATTCACCTCCTCGCCAGCCTCAATGGTCACCGCCTAACATTGATCTACCCAACCCTTGCACACATACACAATGTTTGGTTGCATAAACTACACATTATAGATGCAACAAAAGCAGTGTAATAAAATTATGTGGGATAAAATCCCACAAACAAGTATGGTATTTTGAACTTTTAGCTAAAGTATGAGCAAAAACAAATGAAAATCCTATCTTCCATGTTTGAAGTTAACCTCCTCATTAGCCTCAATGGCCACCGTCTAACGTTGATCAACCCAACTTTGATACACATATTGGTTACATGAACTATACATCTTTTGGGCTTTCACACAACTTTTTTTAACAAACAACTTTAATGTTTGCTTTTCATAAAACCACGGGATAAGAATATACAACTTCACGGTATGCACGAATGAACTTCGAGAGCAAAGTGAATTATTTGGCGATTCGATTTACAGCGGTATGCCGGCTTCATGAATATGATGCAGGACATGGATGGAGGAAACCCATTGTCTAATGTAGTGGAGATATGCGGATAATGTCAGCAATTGCTAAAGCGACAAAATTTTTTTGACCTTGAAACTTCGGTTATATTATATTATGACTCGAGTGTCTGTTGGTAAAATTAATGATTTTAACTCTCTAAACATCAATGTTCTTGCACTCAGATCTCATAGATCGCCAATTTGTGAGCTTAAATTGACATTCTAAAGAAACAGAGGTTAGGAAATACGAGTGATGTGCAAGGAGACAAGGGTTTAGCAGATTAAGTTAAAAATAAATAATAATTATTAATTTTATCAACCAAACCTCCTAGCTACTCCAATCATCACTATGGATTCCCTTGTTAAAGTTTGGAATACCAACAACTCTATAAGTTAAATTTTGTGGTCAAAACCTTGTGAAAGTTTTTCAAGTTAAATTTCGTGGCCAAAACATATGTTTCTTTCACGGGATAATTTGAACACTAAAGTTTAGGTGATATTGGACCTCAATGTCATGGGATGACCCGGGGGCACTCCGGTGTCCCGTTCGTAAAATTGACGGTTCCTACTCCCCTTACCCCTGGTAAACCCCACACCCGACCCCGGCTCGAACACCCCCCACTCCCTTCAATTACACCCCACAAGTTGATTATTTGACTCCAAAGTCAAAATCAACTTGTATGGTGCAATTGAAAGGAGTGGGGTGTGTGTGTTCGGATTGAGGCCCGGTGGAAGGTTTACCGAGGGTTAGGGGGAGTAGAAATAGTTAATTTTAAGAAAGAAGCACCAAAGTGACTCATATTCACACAATGTCATCGGATCCGATGACATTGAGATCACTTAAACCCTTCTCATTGAAAAAGACATTCATATTCATCTGTCTAACCGTCTTCGAATTGATATACGGCTATTTTGAGCAAATCAGGCACTAGCAGAGAAGATGGTAGGGTTCGATGCGCGGTGGCTCATCAGTGCCGCCGTTCTTCTGCTGCTGCTGATGGCCCCAATCGCCAACGCTTGGGGAAAGGAGGGACACTTCGTCATCTGCAAAATTGCCCAGGTCTCATACCAATCATCTCTTAGAAATATCGATGAACTCTTACTTTCTTGGGTCGTGGATTTTCTACCAGTGTCGATTGCTGTAAAATTTAGGGTTTTAGTGGTGTGAGTTTCAGCTGAAGATGACGGAGGACTGGTTTTCACTTTCATCGGCTTCATATTGTGGTAATGGTCATGGAGATTAAGGCTAGGGTTTGTTGGTGGTAGGATGGAATTTAAGTAGTTGATTATGGACATGCTCTTCAATACTCAGGGTATTTGTTTTTCAATGCCCTATTTTACTCTAGACTTAAGCTCCATATTCCAGCCATCTCAACATACCCAACCTCTTCTTTAGCTTAATATCCTTATTCTCAGGGGGACGGTAGGGCATGTGCCACCGAGGTGATTCTGGAAACGTGCCCTCAGTGTTTTCAATAGTTTCAATGCAGTGGTGCCCCCTAGAATGCAATCCTGCCTCTGCCAGCCCACCCACCCACCCACCCACCCCACATACTCCATTTATAATTAAGTCCGAGAGAACAAACCCCATTTCTAATTTAGCACACCTTCAGTGAGTATTCAACTTGCTTGGTTTGTATGGAGGCTCGTTTAGGAAGTTTATAGAGGAAAGTGGGCAGGTTGATGGCTGAAATGGTGCCAAACATTGTGAAATAATAAGAATATAAGATTGGGTTTCTTTGTGATGATCCTATTGTTGTGAGGAAAAAGAGAGAAAACAGCAAAATCTCCCTCCCTACCATAGTTATGAATGGCGAGTGGCGGGCGAGCGGTTGTTTTTTGTGGGGAGTGGCGTGGCGAGTGGCGGGCGGTCAAATGGCGAACCAAAAAAAGCGAACATATACATATATATATATATATATATATATATATATATATATATATATATATATAATGCATGGCATATGAAAAAGTATTAAACAATATATAATTGTCAAAGAAAAACAAAACATCTTGCTGGTACCAGAAAACAAACATTATAAAGTTATTAGGCATAAAACATTAGAAAATATAGTAGTGATCTAGAAAACTTAATCATAATCTTCCCATTCCTCCTCACTCAAAACCAAAGCATCATCATTTGGTGTACTGCTTGCACCAACGAGTTCACATTCTTCTCCATAATCTTCATCCTCAACATCATCATCATCCTCATCAATAAGTTGCCGCGTGTTGAGAGGTCTTTTCAAATGTGTTTGTGGAGTAGCATCTGTGGAAGCACTTGAACCATTCTTTCCTTGCCTTCGGGTATAGTAGATCGGCTCTTCAGCTCCAGATGCTCTAGAGACATCACGGACGGGTATTTCATTAATGGTCTCCTCTGAGCATTCCTCACCTAGCAACCACTCGTTACAATCATCTATGGTTGTCAATATTATCGGATCGATCACATCCCGCATTTTGTGGCGCCTCATAAGAGCTCCGTTATACTTGACAAATACCAAGTCATTCAACCTAGCTTGGTCCAATCTATTTCTCTTCTTGCTATGCACCTGCCATGTTAGACTTATAGGTATGAGTTGTTAAATCACATACACTAGATATCAAGAAATTAGGATTTGTTTCTTGACTACTCACATGTTAAAAAAAACTCCAATTTCTCTCACAACCAGATGCACTACAAGTTAAGCTGAGGACCTTGATAGCGAAGTCTTGCAAAACAGGTACACTACCTCCATATGCTCTCCACCACTCCACTGCAAAACATCAAAAGTAAAAGTGTATATACTTTATAAGGAGTAGACACAAATTGATCGTAGACCTTTGAAATATTACGTACCTGCTGGTTTCGTATTTCTTTGTCGTTTGGCAACATTAAATCCCAATGTGCCCTCTGCTTTCCTATAAAGTATGAGGTCATTGGTAATCGTGTCTTGCATCGAAATATCTGGCACCAACGTATCAAGACATTTGTAGAACCCATCCATCAACTTTTCATTTTTTTCCATCAATGGATCAGAGTAAAAATAGTCTGGGTTCAAGACATGACCAGCTGCATGTAGAGGGTGGTTGAGTTGAATCCCCCACCTATGATCAATTATATCAAAGAAACGTTCGTATCTTTCCTCATGACCTCCAAAGCTCTTTGCTATACTCTCCTTTGCTCTCTTCATTGCATCATAAATATAACCCATTGGAGGCTTGGTCTCGCCATCAACTAGACGAAGAACTTTAAGAAGTGGAGTTGAAACCTTAAGAGATTTCAAAACTCCTCGCCAAAAGGACTCTGTGAAAATAGTCTTTTGTGACTGAACACCTTTTTGCTCCTTCGCCCATTTGCTTTTTGTCCACGCTTCTGAAGCAAATAAAGTTCTCAACTCTTTTCTTAACAAGTGATACCTTCCAAGAGTGAGGGCTGCAGTGGCAAAACGTGTAACACCTGGTCGCACTAAATCCATTTTTGTGAATTTTCTCATCAAATTCACAAGACCTGGGCGAGCATTAATATAACTGTTAATCTTCAATGCTTTCATGTAAACTTGACGAATATCTCCCTCTTTGAATATGTCCTCCAACATCAAGTCCAGACAATGAGCAGCACATGGCGTCCAAAACAAATTCGGATATTTTGTCATCAACAACCTTCCTATAATTTCAAATCAAAGAAAATAAAATTAATTTCAATGTAAATAAACCTAAAAAAAATTAACCTTTAAATATATATATGAATTCAATTCTGCTATGTTACCTGCGTACTTCATGTTTGCAGCATTGTCAGTGATCACTTGTACCACATTTTGTGGACCAATCTTTTCCACAAATTCGCTAAGAAGTTCGAAAATCTTTTCACCTGACTTAATATGCTCAGAAGCATCAATGGATTTAACAAACACACTGCCCTTGGGACAATTAACTAAAAAGTTAACCAATGTCCTCTCCCTGTTATCTTTCCACCCATCTGACATAATAGAGCACCCATGTTTCGCCCATTCTTTTTTATGGTCATCCAATGCATTATTCACAAGGCCAACTTCTTTTTTAAGTAAAGGAACTCTAACCTCATGAAAGGATGGAGCTTTCATGCCAGGACCATGCTTTCCAATTGCATCAATCATTTCTTGAAAGCTTTCATAATTTACCGCATTAAAAGGAATGGCAGCATCGCACATCCAGCGTTCTATTGCAGAACATGCTCGGCTTCGTAATTCTTTAAGTGCTTCTTCATTTAAATCCTTTTGTTTGTTCATTGTCTTTGCGCTATGTTGCCGAGTATGACTAACAAACATATCCATGGGACCCTTCTTGTTCAATTTTGGTTTTTTGGATTTAGCCAAGTCAACAGTTTCGTCGTCGTCCTCTGATTCATCTCCATAACTCATCAATGCCTCTTCACGAAACCGTTGTCGTTGAACTTCTTGGTCCAGCACAATGTTTTCTCTTGTCTTCTTCTTCGCAGCCATAAAATTACTAATCTCCTCCTTCACACTATCAGACACTTTGTCGCACGCCCTTACATCTGTATACCCACCAACTATATGTCGCTTTGCTCTACTAATTCCTCCGGTGTAGCGTTGATCACAAAAAATACATATAGTATTATTCGTATTTTTTGGATTTTCTAACCGAACATATTTCCAAGCGGGATCATTTCTATTTCTTGTGGAGCCGGTGGAGGAAGTGCCTTCCATTGGGGTTTAGGAGAAAGCTGTTACACAATATACCTGAATACCTGCTCCTGCGAGGTGCGAGTCTGAGAGGTTGAAGAACTGGGAGGTTGACTTCCGATTTAGCAGCGCAGACTTCAGAGTTCCAGAGAGGGAGGAGAATCGACTTTGGCAGGGAGTATATCGGCGATGAGAGATGGAAGATTGGAAGAGGATGGCATCGATCGATTAAGGTAATAGTAAACCTACTTAAGGGTAATGGATCCAATTATTTAATTTCAAATGGGCTTAAGCCCAATTAACTTTTAATTAACGCCAGATCTGACTGGCGACTTTAGCGCTCGCCACACGCCATAGGCGACTGTTAGAATGGCGACCGCCTTTTCTCGCCTCAAGAATAACGCCATGCACGACCCAATTCAGGCGTTTCAGCCTCGCCACAGCGCCATAGGCGACCATGGCGAACGCCATTCATAACTATGCTCCCTACCTTCCACCCCTCCCTTGCCCCCCACCCCGGCCCTCCTTCTCTTTGCTCCTCTAAATAATTCTTTTCTTCATTTTACTTTACAACAACCAAAAATGAGTTGTTGAAAACTACCCCCTTCGTCCACAAATAAACTTTACGTTCACTATTCACAGGGTCAAACTTTATTCACTTTGTTGGCCTATTTTCATCACCCATTTGATAAAATAATATAGTCATGTCACCTCTAGTTTTGTAGATCTTTTGATATAGTTTTTTAATATGTAATTTTTATTCTTCAATTCTACACCATTTTTCATATAAAATGATTTGAAAATAATTTCAGTCAAAGATCGTAACGCGCAATGTAAAGTTTATTTGTGGACGGAGGGAGTAATTTTCTTACCAATTTCCCTTGTAACCAAACAAATTCAGGATTTCTGGTTTCATTGACTTTCTTTTCCTTAACTTTTTATTTTCTTTTTATATTCCTCCAACCAAACATAGGGTTAGGGTCAGCTTGGATTGGTTTTCTTTAGATGGAATACTATAATAGGCTACCTATAACATTTCAATTGCCCCTTATCCATGAACACTAATCTATTCGATTGTCTCAATTTTTTGGGAATTTTTGGTATCAATTCGGTACTTCCTCACCCATACAATCTGCAATAGCGTTGAATCCAACACCTCCACCATTCAACATTTGTTTTAGAGAATAACTAGATTTGTCATACGGAGTAATTCCGTAATTATTACTCCATAAGAATGATTAGTGTTCTTGGTTTAAAGGTGAGATGTTGAAATATAAGGTTCTTGGTCCAAAGTTGAGATATTCAAATATAGGAAGATAACAAGATTCAATCCTTAACAAGGGAAAATATTTCTATTGCAGTGGAGGGTCATTATTTGGCCACTCATTATCATGAT